CCAATTTGCAACGCTGCAGGAAGCTCGTCAGTTCTGCAAGGTTGCGGGCTTTCCTGTTCTGGTGCGCCCCTCTTATGTCCTCTCAGGTGCTGCGATGCGTGTGGTTTCCAGGCTGCATTAGTTTGCTTTCAGAGTTTAGTCTTGTGCATGGAGAGATAGTACGGTGGGTGAGCTGCTTCGAGAGTTCGTGCTGCTGCCCCCGGGCTGTCAGGTCACCAACGACACTGACCTGGACATGTTCTTAAAGACTGCAGCTGTGGTAAGCCGAGACCACCCTGTTGTGATCTCCAAGTACATCACTGGTGCCAAGGAGGTCGAAATGGATGGCATTGGCAAGGCTGGGGAGCTCGTGAACTATGCCATCGCGGAGCACGTGGAAAATGCCGGCGTCCACAGCGGTGATGCCACGCTGCTCCTCCCGGCCCAGCGCCTCTTCGTAGAGACCCATCGAAAGGTTAAGAGTGCTTTGGCTGCAGCCTAAGTCATTCTCGTTACGCGCCCCTAGGAATGTCCCAAGATCTGGCAGCCTAGGCATCTCGCAGAAGCTCTGCCGTGCCCTGAAGATATCGGGACCTTTCAACATCCAGTTTATCTGCAAAGACAATGAGGTGAAGGTCATCGAGTGCAACCTCCGAGCGTCGAGGTCCATGCCCTTTATTTCCAAGACCTACAACGTGAACTTCATTGAGCTTGCGACCCGCATCATGACTGGAATGCCCGTGCACCCTGCCATCATCCAGCCGATGGACATCGACTTCGTGGCCTGCAAGGTCCCCATGTTCTCTTTCGGCCGCTTGAAGAACTCTGATCCGCGACTGGGTGTCGAGATGTCTTCCACCGGCGAGGTGGCCTGCTTCGGCGTGAATGCCTACGAAGCTTTCTTGAAGGGCATGGTCGCCGCGAACTTCAAGCTGCCAACGAAGAACATCCTGGTTTCCATAGGCCCTGCTGCTGCAAAAGCCGAGTTCCTTGCCACCGGTGCCGCGAAGCAGCTCCAGGACATGGGCTTCTCTCTTTTTGCCACGAAGAACACGCACGAGTACCTGACCAACACCGGCCAACTCTCTTGCAGCCTTGTCTACAAGCCCCTGATCAAGCGAGAGCCGAATGTGCTTACCATGCTTCAGACTGGCAAGATAGACTTGGTCATCGATGTACCAGACTCCATGGATTCCGATGCCCTCACAGACGGTTTCAAGATTCGACGGGGGTCAATTGAAGCAGGCGTGTCGCTAATCACCGACATCAAGACTGCAGTCTTCACCTGCGCCGCCCTGCACAGGAAGTGGGCTCGGGAAAGCAGTGGCAGGCCTTTCTGGGATGTGTGCTCGTGGCAGGAGTATGTAGAGATCGTGGAGAGGTTGGTCTAAGCTGTCCAGCCTCTGCACACATGTACAAAGACCACAAGCTTCGTTCCCGTGTAGCGTTAGCCCTTGCTAGCTGCGGGGAGAGGCTGGGGATTAGGGTTCAGGCCCTTGGTTAGTCCGGCGGTGAATCTTGGAGAGATTCGGAAACCCCCGGACCATGTCACTTTTGTCATCGCGGGGCGGCCCCCAAGAGCTTCCACAACTCGTCTTGTCTGCGCAGTTCCAACTTGCAAGAGTTTGTCAACGGTTAGACTGAGACTGTTAGCACTTGCTGGACGGAGTCCAGCAAAACCAGGAAGTACGGGGGCCAGCGGTAGGCATGCTTCATTCCAGAAGCGCGGCGCCAACATGGCCAGACAGATCCATCACTCTCGCCATCTTTTGTGAAAATGTGCTGAAATTGTGCTTGCCTTGTTGCCGCACTGAAGACGAGCGCCGGTTGGCAAATGCCGCTTGCAGGAGTTGATGATGGGTGAGACTGGCTTGGCCCATCGCTTCATCCACTTCGTGCAGACCTTAAGGGCTAAGGGCGAACCTGTGGTAAGTTTCTGGTAGAGTCTCGGTGAGCTTTGCTAATTGACAGCAAGAAGACGGAAGGCCATGAAGCTCCTGAACGACGACTTGCACGAGCACCCACTCTGCAAAGAATTCCTTCACAAGAACAGTTGCCAGCCAAGACGAGCCCAAGGTTCTATAAGCGGTGGACGTCAGTCTTTGATCAGGAGGCGGCTCTGGCCAGGGCTAGGCTTGCACGAACGAGCCCTGGTGAAAGAAGGTGGAGAATCTGGTGAACCAGGGCCAGACCCATGAGCAATACGCGGCCTTCCAAGAGATACTTGGACCGCAAGAAACTAGAACGGCCACCTGCTCATGCAAAGGCAGCAATGCGGTAGTGCCTGCCGAGGTATACCTCCATCATAGAGAGTCGCCTGCTGGACTTCTGCTCCCAGGACTTCGGAGAGAGAGCCTCTTTTTTTGACAGCTGAGGTCCTCCCCCCTTCCTCCCCATGGCACCTGCAGGAAGGTTTCGACCAGGATGCCCAGGGCCTCTTCGACGAGCTCCAGCGCTTGGTGCACAAGGTCTCCCGTACGGTGACATTCTGTGATATTCTGTGACATCGGTGAGTTGGCGTCGCTTTGGCGCTTTGCGCGGTCGTGAACGTCGTGAACTTGCAGAGGACCAGGAACAGGTGGACGCCCAGCTGAAGAGGTCCGGTGCGGTGGTTCCTGCAGCATGCTTAGAAAGGCGGCGTCTTGCTGTCTCAGGGTGCTGGCGGAGGTGGAGCAGAAGAAAGAAGAGCTTAGGTCCAGAGCAACGGAGGCGCGAACAATATCAAACAATGGACGTGTGTATGTATATCAATGTCATATCCTCTGTAGACTTGCAACTATGCGTATCCGCACATTATACATGCATCTATCAGATCAGATCATGTCACCATATCATATGCACATATTCTTCACCGAGCCGACAGGGAGACTCAGAGAAGCCGCTCATCCTCATCTGCAAGCCGGTATCCTGACGAATTTGTTGCCTTAAGCCTTGGAGAGAGAGAGAGAGAGAGAGAGAGAGAGAGAGAGACAGAGAGAGAGAGAGAGAGAGAGAGAGAGGGAGAGAGAGAGAGAGGGAGAGAGAGAGAGAGAGAGACAGAGAGAGACAGAGAGACGGTGAACGGGATTCTGTAAGATTTGGGCTCTGGCTGCTGAGGCAGCTCTTGGGGACCTGATGCACTCGCTGCCCCTTGGATTCACGGGCGTGAAGAGAATAGGACGTGCTCAGTGGGCGTGTGATCCGTGAAGCTGAGGGTTCAGCAGACAGAGTGCCTCGGACGGCAGTGCCAGCTCCAAAGAGTGCCTAGCTCATGGAGCGATTGGTGTGATTGGACAGGTATCAGAACTTCAGCGCATCCATGCGGTACCGCGTGGAACAGGAGCGGCCAAGCTGCCCTGCGCATTGGGTGCATGAGCCGGATGGCCCCGTTCCACATTGATGTCTCTGTTGACGACATGTGCATTTTGGGTACATACATGCCTGGCCCGAAGCTGCGTGTCACTGTCATCGAGTCATCCTATAGACTGGCACATGCGTGCCTGTTCTCGTCCACTGTTCGAACAGCCATTCTTTCAGAGAGGAGCGGATGATGAAGATGCTTTTGGCGGGGCTCGAGGCGGAGTCGACGCCGCAAGGACAGCGGAAGCTTGTGCCGCTTGAGCTTTCGTGGGTTGAAGGTTCAGGGGTTCGGGTTGAGAAAGGGTTTGGGGTATTCTGCGGTCAGGAACAGTGTCACCAGGTGCTGATCTCGAGGCCCATCTCTAGCGGAGTACAAGATATGCACACACGCTCCCATGGTGTCAGCGTGGCGTCGCCAGGTGGTTGACGTGGAGATCGATGAAGGAAGAGTTCCTCGAGCTCCACCGGGTCTCAGCTTGAGCCCAAGCTATGGTCGCTCTTCGTACCAACGACATCAACTTTATCTTCTTTCTTCGAAATGAACTAGATGGGCACATGAGGAGTGTTATGAGTTGTAGGAGGGCGTGCTTCAGATACAAAGCGTCTCTTTGATGAAGTTTTGGTGTGTTGAGGCAGTATGTCTGTGACGGTTCCTGAAGGCTGCGAGGCGACGATGGGAGTGCGACGAGTTTAGATGTTCGCAGTACGCAGGGAGGGTTGGATGCTGGAGTTCTGCACCACGGGAGGCCGGATCGCAGCTGAGCTTGACCGCCGCTTGCCTCCTTGAACATCCAGAGGGGCCATCCAATGCTTGTGTAAAGTTACTCTATGCCACCGTAGTTGTCCAGACGCATTCGAAGCCGGTGGGATCGTGCAGTTTCGAGGCCCCTGATGGGCAGCAGCTTTCCGTGACCGTGCCCGGTGGCCTCTCCCCTGGGATGTCCTTCGAGGTGGACTCGCCTAGCTTCCTGCTATCTGTGTGCTATCGCTCGAGCTCTTGTAGGTTCCATGTCGCTCTGGAGGGTATGGAGGTGGCCAGATGCTCGGCTGCTTGACCAACCCCACTTGCACTCAGCCGCCCCCTCTCTGAGGCTACGCCGCCCCCTCAGGAGCCGCTCCGGGCTATGCGCAATGATGACAAGGAGCGCAGCAAGAAGACATGCTTTTGCAATGTAAACGCCATGGACCCCAGCACTGTACCCAGCTGCCAGTTGATGCCAGGGTTCCGTGGTGCGGCCTTGAGAAGTTTAGCCCTGCCAGCAGAGAGCTGCGGCAGAATCCGTGGGCCTTTGGCCATGTACTGCTTCACGGGCAGCTGGTTGTACAGTGACCCCTTGCTGCCTCCGCAGTTTCATCTTTTATGCACTTGCATATTGCTTGACGGCCGCCTGTTGAATCGACAGGTGTATCTTACCTGGCACATGCAGTCTGAGTACCTCCAGGTAGCACAATGGGTGCCCGAAAATGCAGTTCGGAGCGTGCAGTACGAGCCATCCCCCTTCCACAATGTGCCATGTAGCTGAGTCCGCATCAAGCCTGTGTGCTTCATAAACTGCTGTTCGATACGACGCATTCCGAAATAGCATGCAGAAAAGCAAGCGCCGGGAAAGCCCGCAAGTTCGGGTGGCTTTTTCAGATGGCATCTTGCGCTGTACTTCCCGTGATTTCTCGCGTGAATCCAGGCGCTGGCCGACCTGGATCAAGTGATCAAGCTGGAGCCCAAAAACGTGTCAGCCCCTCAGTGGCCCAGTTCATGGCTCGTCTACAGACAAAGGCGGTGGGTTTCGGATGGCCCGCGGTCGGACATATACTTCAGTCTGAGAGTGTCGTCGAGCAGTCTTCGTGGCTTTTCTGGAGCCCGCCAATGCTGACCGTGTTCCTGTGGCTGGGGCTCCTAGGGCCTTGGGGTTCTTAATTATGTGCTGTCGAGGTATGCCATGCACAATCGAGGAGAGATCCAGCGAAAGCGTGGCGAGCTTGAAGCTGGGCCCTTGGGGAACACCTCATTCTGCAAGGGGTTTATGTTGCTGGAGCTAGGAGCTCCAAAATGCCTTCCAAGCATTGGCACAAGTATCCAGCCTTGCGCGAAGGATGCAAGGCACAAGACAACTACACACTGTAAGTCATCCTAGCTCAACTGTTCGTGGGATCTGTGACATCGTGTCATGGTGGAAGTAGCGCAGAGCCATAGGATCTGCTAGGCAGCTAGGCTGGGAGACCATCCGCAGATTTCAGCAGGTTTCAGCCATGGCCAAGGGCAAGCGGGGCACTCGCAAGGACAAAGCCGAGAACTCGGAGGACTCAGCCGAGGCCGAAGCGTCGGAAGAGTTGGAGGAAGAACCCGACCTGGACATCGATGCAATTGCTGAGAAGGCGGTCAGTTTTGCGCTGAAGGCTGTCAGCAAGACTGACCCCGGACAGCTGAAGTTGGACGTGGGTCTTGGTCCCGACCAGCTCTATTTGTATGGTGCTGGGGAGAATGCTTTTGACACTTCGGCCGTTGCTGGGCAGTACCAGGCCAGCGCAAGCGACCTTTGTCGATCGAAGGTGCACGAGGCTCCGCAGCACCGTGCTGCTCAGGACCGAGAAGTGCGCGGTTCAAACGTGCGGCCCGTCAACGACGTTAAGGAGAGGCGTGCTGAGGCGAAGCAGGCGAGAACGGAGAAGCTCGACAAGTGGTTCGGCTTGCCAAAGCATCGCATGACCCCCGAGCTGGAGAAGGAACTGAAAGCCTTGAAGCTCAGGGCAAACTTTGACCCGAAGCGATTCTACAAAGCAAATGATAGACAGGAGCTCCCAAAATACTTCACGATCGCCACAGAGGTAGGGGGAGGCCTGGCACCGGTGGGCCTCCACACCAGAACTCGCGAAGTCCATGCCCACAGCGGCCGAAGCTTCTTGGACACTATCCTTCGAGACGAGGGCGTACAGTCATGGACGCAGAAGAAGAAGGGTGAAGTGAACGAGAAGCATGCCGCCGCTCTGCGCAGTGGGCACGGCAAGCGGAAATCCGAAGGAGCAAAAAGCACGAGGCGAGGAGGCGCTTGGAAGCAGCTCGCAGCACTTCAGCCTTACAATGCCTTACAGTTGTTTACGCGTTTGGGGTAGCGGTGCTCTTGTGCTCTTGTGCATGCATGAGTGCTCAGCAAGTATCATGGCAGGAAAAAGCGAAAGAGTTGAACCACCGACGCGTCTCGACGCTTCTTTTCACCGTGCTTTGCTCCTGGATGCCTCGGAGATGCCCTGATGGAAACGTCCCACCCGCGAAGCCCCAAAGCGCGGAGAAGAGAAAAAGACTGAAAAGGAACCGAGTTGTGCAGAGTTGCGTGCGGAGTTTCGCGATGTTCGGGGCCGTGCTGCGTTGGGCCTTGGGGCTTGGCTGCTTCTCGAGCTTGTAAGTACAAGATGTGTCTTCTCCTCTCGGCTCCCAGCAGCAAAAAAACGTTCCTCAGGGTCGGAAGCACTTGAGAGAGCAAATGGCTGAAGAGGGCCAAGGCTGTGCCAAGTGCCGTCTTGTGGAGTCATTCGTGTGGCGTGGGCGTTTGCCAGGTGCATCCGCGTTCCCATCCCAATACGATGAGTCCGGCATGTTGCGGGCTGAGCGGCCAAACAACCCTTTGGGGCCACTTCTCGGCAGAGCATTGCTTTTGAGTAGAAGCCTGCTCCAGCCAGGACATCTTTCGACAAATTAGAAGCAGAGCTGCGCGGGGAGCAGCTCAAGTTAGTCTGCGCTCCCCGACTGCAGCGACAGGGGTGGTGTCAGACTTCGGACACTTGGGATATAGGGCATCTGGCTATATGCACGGTTTTTTGGGTGCAATTTCTGCGTTCGCGACAGCTTGCAACCGTTCTAGCTCCCCTAAACAGCCTTAGTGCTTACCCAGACAGTGGATCGGAACCTCAGGATCTGTCCACAGGTTCGAGAGTCGAAGTTGCGGCTTGTTTGCAGATAGTAGTTCAGATGGAAGCATATGGATACACGTGGAGACTTTGCAACAATAGAAATCGCATAGCAAGTTCATGTTTGGTGAAGCTTTATACCTGCCTTAGACCAATTGAGGTCTGCAATGTGGGCCACGATGTCGCATACGCAAAGGGCCAAGTGGCGAGACAAACCGAAATTGCAACTCGGACCTTTGTTAGATTTTGTTTGCCTTGCAGACGCAAGGGCGTTCGCGCCCACAGGCAGTCAATCAATCAATCAATCAATTAGATTTTGTTTTTAACTGGGCACAGGCGTCTGCTGTTTGCCTTGCAGCGCAGGAATACGGACGCCTACAGTTCTACCTAGAGCCCTGGCCGCAGGGACTGTGATAAAGGCTACACGTTCCAGGCCAGTCTCTTGCCTCGCTTCAGGAAGACAAGCTGATGTTCGATCCCCTGTCCTTCAATGATTTCCCGGCAATCATGGCGAATGCAAGCAAAGAGGTCGCATCTGTGATCAGTCCGAATGCTCACGTTGCCACAAAATCCTTTTGTTGTTCCAGCCCGTGTGCCATGGAAGGTGCTTGTGAGGGTTGAAGTCGCCCCTCCGATTCCCGAGTGATCGGGTGACCATGTCAGGCGGCCCGGAGCGTCATGCAAACAATTGGAGGGATGACCTACTTGAGTGGACCAAGACATGACAAGAGAGCGCGAGAGGCAGAGCCCAGGAGTCGCCCCGAGCAGAGGAAGTGAAGTCGCGGGAAATCTCCAAGGGCTTGAAGCAAGCAGCTACAAAGAGCTGTGCGCTCTCGCATCCCGCTCGAAGCAGGATGGTAAAAGGAGCACATGTTGCCACCCATGCAAGGCGTCACGTCTCCGCTTCTTGAAGGCTTGGTGCTGGTCGGCGTGGCTCACAGCGTAGGCAGGGCTGTGCAACTTAATTAGCTCAAAGAATTCAATAGGACATGGCCTCATTCTGGCTCTTGCTCTGCACCGCGTGTTGGCCCAGCGCCGACGCAAGCGTCCGTGTGCTAACAGACCACCCTGCCCGTGCGCTCGAGGAGGCCCTGGTGGGGCCTGGGCAGATCCCTCCCTGGAGGAGCCATGGCGAGGAGAAGTCACTCAAGAGACGGCAGGAGCACAAGAAGCTGGAGACTTGGCTCCTCACATCAGAGGGCTTGCCCTGTTCCCTTCCATTTTGGCACGAGGGGCAGAAGTATTCAGGCTGTCACCCTGATGGGTGGTGCTGCTTGGATGAACAGTGCACCAGGACGGGAACTTGCGGGCATCTCGCGCCGACTAAGCTACCCCTGCAACTGCCACGTGATGTTCCAACCACCAGTTGTCATTTGAAAAGCTTGGGTGGACAGTTTAAATGGCTCCCCAAAGCATCTCGAAAGAGCAACGTGAATCTGGTTTTTCTGCTTCTGAAGCCAGGCCAGAGCTTGTCCGATAAGGATTTGCGATCACTGTTGGAGGTTTCACAGGAGGTAGGCAACATTGAGATTGTGCTGATGAGCTATGCGGCCGACGCGGAAGTGCTGCAAGTGATGCTGGCACTGCAGAGCAGAGTGCATCAGCTCGCCAATACGTCGAAAGCCAGACTGCAGAACCTGCACTTGGTGACAGAGCCTGCAGGTGCAGTGCTTTTTCACTCCTGCTGGCTGCCCTCTGTGATCCAGGCTTGGTCCAAGGACGAGGAGGTTCTCACCTTTCTGGATGCAGAGAGAAGGGAGCTTGTCTCCACTGCAACAACTGCAACGCAGGGGACCCGAGGAGAGTGGGCGCCCACTCCGGACAAGAGCTTTGTGCAAGAGCTTCCCTTGCGATGGGCTGGGCTGCTCTGTGACGGGAATGAGGAGAACTCGAAGTGGCCACCGGCTTCCCAAGCTCTTGAAGGCTTTGTGGCTTTGGTAGCTCGTGGGGAGTGTTCCTTCTACCAGAAGGTGCAGAGAGCTCAAGCGTTGGGCGCAACATCTGTTGTCATATTCAGCCAAGACGAGACTCCGATTGTGATGGGCTGTGCCACGCCTGACCCTTGTGACGAGGCTTTGCAGATCTCGGCAGTGATGGTCGGGAAAACGGTGGGAGAGTTGCTGCTGGAGGCTATCTTCCCTGAAAACTCCAGCAGCTCTGCCGAGTCTTCTGGTGCGACGGAAGTGTCCGCGCGCTTTGCAGTGAAGCGGCAAGGTCCCAGCATGGTGGCTCTCTTAGGCCACGGAGACAGGCTCTGGTACAACACCTTCCCCGGCTTCGGTAAAGTAAGCGATGAGATTCGGGGGATGGACTTTCGGGGGCGTCTGCTGCAACGCACGGAAGAGCTCAGCCAGCTCAGTGAGAGCGGCGACGTCTTGAGAATCTCCATCCTGGAAAGGGAGCGCATGCCAGGCTCAATCACCAGATCATGGACCCTGGAACAAGCTGCGCTGATTAGGGACGGACTTTACGACGAGCTGGAGGTAGAGCTTCGCCTGGACTGTGTGGATCACTTAGATGAGAACTGCCCTCCATGGGATCATGAATTGAACCTCTTTGTTTGCACAGCCGGCCGCTCAAAAGATCCCACAGACTGTGGTCACAGCGATGACACCATTGCTCGGTGGATCACTGCATATGGCCGGGAAGGACACTGGCTAACACATGCCCCAGCAGCAATTCCGTTATTAACCGAGTCAGAGTCCACTCTGCGCTTGGCCACCTGGCAGGAATACACTGTCACGCTGGTTTTCTGGTTCCGACGGGCGAGGGCGGGCTTGGCGCCTCAAGCTCGCATGCCTCTTTGGTCTGGAGGCATCTTTGACCTGAACTACAATGCCATCCGCGAACCAATGTATTTCAAGGTGCCCCCGCGGTCTACAAAAGTCGTGCTCACTACGCTGATTACCGGCCATGGCTGGGGGGTTGATGAGGCCAACTGCGCTGAGTTCTGCAATCACGTGCACCACTTCACAGTAAACGGGATAAGCAGTCACCAGCTTGTTAAGGACAACGCGGTGGCAAGCACGAACGATGGCTGCCAGGCGCAGGTTTTAAGCGGAGTTGTCCCGAATCAGTTTGGCACTTGGCCGTTCGGTCGGGCTGGGTGGTGCCCCGGCAAAGACGTCCCGTGGTGGGAAGTTGACATCACCGAGTGGACCGTGGCCGGCGAACAAAACACCATCGCATACCAGGCATTGTTCAATGGCTCAGACTACGATCCCGTTCCCTCCAATGATAGTCACAATCTTGGTTTCCCGGCGGAGATCCACCTGGTTTCTGCTTTGATGTTTTACGGGGAACATTCGGATACGGCTGCGACGCGACAGCCTCCATCTCCACCCCCGAGAATTCTTCTCCCATGAAAATCTTGGGAGCTACAAGCAGTGCAAGCCTCTTCTCGTGCTAAACAGGCATCGGAAAGTAGGCCCGCACCGCACATAGAGTCGAGGCCACATGAGCCTCAGGCTTGCTCGCTCCGGGTAACTCAAAGCTTGGGTTAAAGGTCTCGTTAAGAGCTGCCGCGAAGGAGCCATGGTCCTGATCCTGATATCATCGGTCATGACGGTTAGAAGTTGGAATTACTGGTTTCCTTCTGACCTTCTGAGGCAGCCCTTGCAGACTTCAATGTGATACTCCGTGTCGAGTCAGCCCCTGAGAGCGACGTGCATCACAACCCATGTCGAGCTTGGGCTGCACCAGAACAACACATCTCAACCACACCTGAACATCTGAATCGCCCAAGTCCGGCGTATGCGGCGGCCTATGCAAGCCGCGGGGCTGTCAGGCCCGAGCCTCTCTCAGACCTTTCTCAGTGACCTTTCAGTATCTCCAAAGTCAAGTTTATCCTTGCTCTCAGCATTCTTTCAGGCGGGCTCTCAAGCTCCACGCCGAGGCCGCACTGCGCACCTCAGCTTCGCGGAGCGTGAGACGTTGTGTGACTCAGTGTGACCATTTCGTGCTAATTGTGAGAGGCCATTGCGGACTACAATCGTGCCTTGGCTCTGTGCCCAGATCCGTGAGTTTTTGCAGAGGTAAGGCCGCAGTGGAGCTGCTGCATATGAGCTATGCCATAGCTCCTTGGTTCAACAGCTAACTGCTCCCGCTGCTCTGAAGGCTCCGTGCAGCAACAAAGTGTGCATTGAGTTTTGATAGACTGTCGGCATGGCCTTGGCCTTTGTCAAGCGCAGCTTTCAAGCAGGCAGGAGGCACTTCAGTGTGCACAGCGGAGTCCGGCATGATTGGACTCGGGCGGAGATCCGCGAGATCTACCACGAACCCTTGTTGGAGCTGATCTTTCGCGCGGCCAGCGTTCACAGAACCTATTTCAACCCCCGCGAGGTGCAGCAGTCAACCTTGCTATCAATCAAAACCGGGGGCTGTGGAGAGAATTGTGGATATTGCTCGCAGAGCCAGAGCTTCAAGACTGCGGTGAAGCCGACGCCCATGATGCAAGTCGAGGAGGTTCTGGACGCTGCCCGCCGAGCAAAGGAGGCCGGCTCTACAAGGTTTTGTATGGGCACAGCCTGGCGTGGCGTTGGCCAGAAGAATGCCTTCAAGAACATCCTAACTATGGTGAAGGAAGTTTCCGGTATGGGCATGGAGACTTGCTGCACTTTGGGCTTGCTGAATGCTGAGCAGGCCAAGCAACTGAAGGATGCTGGCCTGACGGCCTACAACCACAACCTGGACACCAGCCCAGAGCATTACCCCAACATCGTTTCCACTCGTACCTACGCGGACCGCCTGGAGACGCTGGCGAACGTCAGGGAGGCTGGGATCAGCGTCTGTTGTGGAGGCATCCTTGGGATTGCAGAGACGGAGGAGGACCGCATTGGGCTCCTGCACACCCTGGCCACCTTGCCGGAACACCCGGAGTCGGTTCCCATCAACGCACTGGTTCCCGTGGAAGGGACACCGCTTGGTGATCGTCAGATCCGCATGGGCACAGGGGTGACGTGGCGTGACATGATGCGGTCCATTGCGACTGCCAGGGTCGTCATGCCGCGGTCCATGGTTCGTCTCTCGGCTGGACGGATGGAGTTCTCGCAGGAGGCTCAGGCGATGATGTTCTTGGCGGGCGCGAACTCGATCTTCACCGGGGACAAGCTGCTCACCACGCCGAATCCCAAGTTCTCGGAGGACTCCAAGATGTTCGAGTTGCTGGGCCTCACGGGCAAGAAGCCCTTCACAGGCCCCACGGCTACCCTGCGGCCAGCCTGGGCTGAGGCTGAGGCCGAAGCCGAAGCCGAGACTGGCATGGGCACAGGTGGCATTTCGCAGCCTGGGCTTTGGGAAAGCACAAAGCTGGCCAAACCTCGCGAGGTGACTTTCTAAGATTCGACGTAGTTCTTGAGCCTGAGTCTGACCTATGTCAGCTATGTGGTGCTCGGTGCACTTCATGAGGTAAGATATGGTGAAATATAGTGCAATAGTTGCCCAGCTTTGCAGCGCCTTAGCCGCCAGCGCTTTGCTGTCCGACTGAGCATATCTAAAGGCAGCGAATCAGATAAGGGCAAGCAAGTCATACTGGTACGTGGGTTGGCGTGTGAAGAGTGAGTCAGGACAGTGTGGTGGTTTTGCCAACTTTGGTTTGCGCGCTGAACGTCCGCACAAGGCGAGACGGCTTGTCGACATGTTGGAGTGCGAAGCCTTAAGAAATGTGTGCTTAGTGTTCTTGAAAGAGCATCGGCACCTAACCCTGTGGAGGACCATGCACAAACAGTCAATCACAGTGCGTGTCGCAGCGGATGGATCTCAGAGCAATCTTCGACACAAGCATCATGAACGTCTCCTTCACGTCACGCACTCACGCACATAGTGAAGAAAACGACGCTCAGAAAAAGAATGTATCGTTTGCAGCCATGTCAGTTTGCACTCTAAGCCGGAGATGCTGAAAAGGCAATGGTGCACGGTCGGCTCTTGGCGCGTGGTTCAATTGGTCTTCTTGGCCAGTTCCAGGTCGTAAAGCAACGACGCTTTGCTTCTGCAACTCAAAACATCCTCGTATATGGTGCAAACACGGATGTAGGAAAGACGGTGGCATGCGCTGCCATTTGCCATGAGGCGCTGGTAAGAGGGCACAAAGTCGCGTACATCAAGCCCGTGCAAACTGGGAGTGACACTGATGCCCAAGCTGTTCACGAACACTGTGCTCGCAGGGGCCTCGCAGAGGCACTTCGGTTGCAGACCCTGTTTCATTATCCGTCGCCCGAGTCTCCAGCGAGTGCGGCTGAGAAGGCCGGGGCCATTCCTCCCCAGGATGCAGAGTTCCGCAAGGCGGTGCTTAGCGCGCTTCAAGCGCATGGAGCACCGAGCGGCCCAGATCCGACAGAGAGAGATTCGTGTGCCCCTGTAGCCAATCTAGCACTCTTGGAGACTGCCGGTGGACCTTTGAGCCCGGGACCGAACCACACTTTTCAGGCAGACATCTATGCCCCGCTGGGTCTGCCCTGTGTGTTGGTGGGAGACCCCAAGCTAGGTGGGATCTCTGCCACCGTTTGTGCCTACGAGGCCTTGGTCTCACGCAAACAGACTCCAAAAGCAATCTTGTTCATCGGGAGTGAGGGCCCTCATAGTAATGCTACCGCGGTGCAGAAGGCGCTGCCTGACGTGCCGGTGATCTCCGTGCCCTGTACCCCGCCACAGCAGGAGCCGCTGACAGATTGGCTGGCGGAGCCTCAGGTGACCAAAGGCATGTCTGCACTTCTGGAGAAGGTGCGGATGCTGCAGGGGCCGGAGGTCTCCGGTGTAGAAGAGCACTTGCGGCTGGATCGTGAACATCTGTGGCATCCCTACACGAGCATGGTGAAGCCGGGTCTTGTATGGCCTGTGCGGAGTGCAAGTGGTTGCCATATTCAGCTTGAGGATGGTCAGAGCCTTGTGGATGGCATGGCTTCGTGGTGGTGTGCAATTCATGGCTATAATGTCCCAGAGCTAAATGCTGCCGCCACACGGCAGTTGAGTCAATCTAGCCACGTGATGTTTGGTGGCCTGACGCATCGTCCAGCCACAGACCTTGCCAAAGCACTCTTGAGTTGCGTCCCCCCAGGCCTTAGCCGGATATTTCTTTGCGACAGCGGCAGCGTGAGTGTAGAAGTGGCCCTGAAGATGGCGCTGCAGTACTGGGCGACCCAGGGAGTCCAACGGAAGTGCCGCATTGCAACTGTGCAGCGTGGGTACCACGGCGACACCTTCGGGGCCATGGCTGTCTGTGACCCCGTGCGTGGGATGCACGGGCTCTTCAAGCATTCCCTGCCGCAGCAGCTCTTCGCCGCAGAGCCCACCCTGGCGCGACCGGGTGTGGACATTGCGGACGACGGCTTCAGCAGCATGGAGGAGCTGCTCCGGCAAAATGCCGAAGATGTTGCCGCGGTGATCATCGAGCCGGTAGTCCAGGGTGCGGGGGGGATGCGGATCTACAGCCCATCATACCTGGTGAAGCTTCGGAACCTGTGCCGTGAGCTGCGGATCCTTCTAATTTTTGATGAGATCGCGACAGGCTTCGGCCGAACTGGGAAGCTTTTTGCTGCAGAGCATGCCCAGGTCACACCAGACATCATGTGTGTAGGAAAGGCTTTGACGGGTGGTTACTGCACCCTTGGTGCCACAATTGCGTCGGAAGATGTTGCCCGTCGCGTGAGTGGGCCAGATGGGAAGCAGCCCTTGATGCATGGCCCAACCTTCATGGCCAATCCTTTGGCTTGCGCCATTGCCGCTGCCAGCATTCGCCTCCTTCTGGAGGGACCTTGGCAGAGCCGAGTGGCCGCCATCGAGAAGCAGCTGGAGCTGGAGCTCCGGCCATTGATGAAGCACCCCGAAGTCTCGGACGTGCGCGTCCTGGGTGCAATCGGCGTGGTGGAGCTGCGCAGCCCACCCAAGGAACCAGCCAAGCTGCAGCAAGCATTGGTCCGGCAAGGCGTGTGGCTCCGACCCTTTGGCCAGACCATCTACACAATGCCACCCTACATCATTTCGCAGCAGGAGCTTGGGAGCATCACCAAAGCCATGTCTGCAGTGCTTGAGGAAGGAATCGAGCTCATTGATTAGAGCTGATTTGTCGGCCGGCCAATAGCGTCTGGGCTGACATTGAGCAGCACGCGGATAGACACGCGGATAGACAAACGGGGGCGCTGCGCTTGCTGCGCTTGCAGATCGCTATCCGGTGTTTCCAAGCTTTGTTCCACATCGCTTGTTTGAGCATCAGGCGCGGGAGCCCCGCAACCCGGCGATACTTTGTGGTCGCGGTGCAGCAGCACTAGAGCTTGGGCGTAAGGACGAGGCCAGCACCCGATTTCTGGCGAGCAATTGTTTTCCCTCCACGCCAAGTAGTAAGTAGAAGGGTTGGATTTATCGGGCCGCCCCCTACCAGGTGTTTGCATTCGTTCGAAGCATACCCGCAAATCCAGACTGGCAAAGCGCGCAGATGTGCCACATTTAAGAAGTGCTCTAAAGTCTAAAGTCTAAAGTATCGTTTTCCGAATGCCTAGCTAAGAAGGCCTCTGATGATAAGGCATGGACGTCCCTTTGATGCGATGGCTTCCGCACTGGTAGACAAAGATATCCTCATCTCACCGTGTTTTGCAGGCCGCGGCTGACTTCAAAAGTGCACTGGTCAGCCTCCCATCCCCGAGTCGCGGAGCCCACTGCGAGCCGACAGGGGTCCTTGGTGCTGAGGCCCTCAACCCAAAGGATTCCTTCGCGGAATGGGGCCTTAAGACGATCGGGGCGGTTCCCCCGGATGCTTTCAGAAGCGTAGAGAGCGTCGAGGGAGTCGCACAATGTCACACAGGGTTCTCAGGGTTCGCACTGACTCTCACATATTTTCGCATGGTTTTCTAAAGCCCGAGGCCGACAAGGGCTTGGATCAAGGCAGGACTGCGGCGCTGCTGCCTCAGAGAGTTTCCAGGAAGACTGAGCCAAAATTGATCCACATTGATCCCTTCACTGCCTTGAGGACTGGATCGCAGGCGCGGCCCAGACGGGAGACCCAGGCAAGAACGTACGGAACGTACGGGGTCGTTGCCAGCCCAATCTCTCCCGACAGTGCTGACACGGTGGACTCGGACTCCGACCCCGGCATGGAGCCTGGCTTGCCGCCGGGCTTGCCGCCTGGCTTGCAGCCTGAAAAGGACACACAGGACGCACATGCGACCCACGTCGCAGAAGCAACACCAGAGACACCTTCGATGGAAGTGACTTTGGCGCTAAGCGCCTCGAAGCCCAAAGCCAAAGCACAGCCACCTTTCACAGAGCCTTCCGTGCTTTCCCATTCCCAGCCACAAGCTTCCATCCCCCATGATGACGAGGTGCCCATGACCCCAGCACCGCAGACCCTCCCACCAGAGCAATCCACATCAGGCCACTCAGTCCAGATACCAGAGCCAGCCAAGCCCAAAGCGCCCCCAATCTCCCACGAGGAGGTGGCCAGGCGCTTCGTCTCGGCATTCTCGTTGCCAGCAGAGCCGAAAGCAATGCCAGAAGCAACGCCAAAAGCAGCTGCAAAAGCAACAGCAAAACCAACAGCAACAGCAAAAGCAACAGCAAAAGCAACAGCAAAAGCAACGCTAGAGGCGAAGCCAGAAGCGTCACTAGCATTCCCAGATGAAACGCCAGAACCTCCTCCAAGCCCACCTGTCGCCGGCGACAAGCCGTCACCTGCGTCGTCACCTGCGTCACCTGCGTCAACTGCGTCACCCGCGCCGCCGCCACTCGCATCGACACCTGCACCGCAACCTGCACCAGCACCCGCTCCGGCTGGCAAGACTGTGCGAAAGCCACAAGGACAACGCCTTGTCCAACCAGAACCTGTGCTGGAAGCTGAGACAAGTGGAGTCGGGTGGAGTCGGATAGCTCGATGGAGTTCCACATCATTCTAGATTTCAAATCGGTTCCACCGCGACGTGTGCAGCCTTTTCCAAGGCGCAGGAGCAGCCGACTCCAGGCCAAGTTGCCAAAATTGGAGGGCCTCTGAGGGCTTCTCAGGGCTTTCTCTCTAGTGATCGTCTTCCGATCGTCTTGCTCTTCTTGCCCTGTTGAAATAGTGCAATTGGCCCCCGCTCGGTCGTCAATTCTGCTGCAGGCTAAGGCGGAGAAAGTCGAGGAGGCAAACGCCAAAGTGGCTGCCAAGGCGCTCGTTGTGGCTTTTGTCTTCTTGTCTCTTGGGAGCGGCTGTGGTGCGAGCATGTGTGAGCTCTGCCGTACGGCCAAGGCGGAGGCCAAAGCCAAGGCCAAAGCCAAAGCGAAGGGGAAGGCCAAAGCGGCCCCGAAGGCAAAGCCGAAAGCAAAGTCGAAGGCCAAGGAGGCACCCAAAGCGAAGGCCAAGGCCAAAGCCAAAATCAAAGGCGAGCCGAACGAGGACCCACGTGTCATGTGTGCCGATCTCTGGGTTGGGACGAAAGGATCCCGGATCATCTCCGAGGCTGCTTGGCGGCAGCCGCTGTTGTTCTCGCATGCGGTGCGGCAGGACGAGCAACCTTTGTCGGATTTGCTGAAGGCCGGCACTTTCCTGCCACAGCAGCGCCAGGTCGTGCAAGTTGTGCTTTGGCCCATTGGTCCTATTCATTTGGTCGTCCTGCGGCCGTTGTCGAGATTTGTTGTCGGCGTTTTCCCGCTCACTTTTGTACAGTCACCTTGCATAGGTTCGCACGCGGGTCACTTTGAATGGGGGTCACACAGTCACACTGGTAGAGGTCAACAAGTTTCGGCTTTCTCATCAGGAATACACAATAAATTTTCCACGAATCGCAACATGAACCGACAGTCGTTTGTGCCTTGGGACCTGGAGCGCAAGTTGCAAGGCTGACAGGAAGGATGGGTGTCGCACGATGTCGTCGCACTTGCGAAAAAGTCGAGTTCTTCTTCGTGCAAGCATGGCGTAGGCTCCCGATGAAATCCACGTACTTGGTGCTGGCACGCTTTCTTCGCCTCCGGCTCCAGGATGCCGCCCCCAAGGCGAAGCGTCGCGCCAAGGCTGGGTCTTGCCGGTCTTGGCTGCTCTGCGCCTCGGCCAGCGCCAGCCGTTTTGCGAGAGGCGCCTTACGCTGGCCCTGCCAGGAGTTGAGTTAAGAGGACATCGAGGTCTCCTGACTGCCGGTGGATGCTGTGAGCACCCAAAAAGGCGCGCCAAGAAAGGCTCCGTTCAGTTTCGAGTGAAAGCGATATTGCGAGGGGCACTCGGGAAGCATGGCCTGATCAACTGCTATGTGCTTGCGACGAATGGTTTGATTGATCTTTGAATACGAAGTCAAGATATGCGCAAGTAGTGACTGCTTCGGAGCCAAAGTAGCTCTTCTTGGTCATGCGGTCGCCTCAGCTTCTCAGAACCCAACAGAACCCAACAGAACTCAACAGAACCAGCACCCACTTGCCAGGCCGGATGCGAAGGTCTGGCCCGGCCTCCAGGCCTTTTGCAGCTTTCCCGCGTGCGAGCCAGGTGTTCAAGTTCGAGAACCTTCCAGTAGAGCTTCACAAGCGTGCCCCAGCCTTAGGCTCTTTCATTCGCAGGAAGTGCCCTCGGATTTTGGCTGTTCCTGCCTGTGACATTTCATTGGAGGTCAAAACTCGATGGCTGCTTTACCTAGCAGTTGGTTTCTCCGTAACACTGCTCCTGGGCTGCATACATGCACATCGCACCAGAAAGGCCCAATGCGGTTGTCGTGAGAGTTCTTGAAAGAGATCCTTCCCCGATTCTTGCAGCAGCTGTTTGGGGTTGCGAGAAGCAAAATCCGCTAGGCCCATGGAAGCCCATCAGCACCCCTGCACACGAAGTATGCCCAAGCAGCTCAAGTGAAGCCGTGTTCAACCACTACGTGAAGCCATGGCTTTCCTGTTGACGCCATTCTGCCGCTGCTCCTCGAATTGGGGAGAAGCTGCGCTGGAAGATGGCGATGGGGACTCCATCGCCCGAGCCGATGGTGCCTTTGTCGAGAAGAGAGATGCAAAGCAGATGCAAAGCAGAGCAAAGCAGAGCAATCGTTGAGCAATCGTTGCAACTGCAAGAAGTTCTCACAAGGGTCAGGACGGTCAGGACGTTTCATATGAGCTGAATGGCTGCTAAGGGGATGCCAGATTAAGACTTCCACTTCCGCAAGAGGAGGAGCTGGCGGCACTTTGGTTCCATTAAATCTGGGCAGCTGCGGAAGCGCTCCAAGAGTCTTTCGAACTCAACCAAGGTCCAAAGAAGCGAGCAAAAAGAAGACAACGCAGAGGACAAGGCTTCTTCTTCACTGCTCGTTCCGTGCTGTTGATCGTAGGCCCATAGGTCCTCATAGGTCCCCATCTGCCGACTGTACAATGGAGGCCTCGGACCATTCCACGACGGCCACGGCCACCGGCACACAGGAGAGTATCGGACAGAGCATGCGGAGCACACCTGTATTTCGGGGGCCAAGCTGCGTCTACTCGTGTAGCAACGAATCCTGCCATGTTGCCTTGCCCGAGCGCAGCGGGCCGATGCAGGCCTTGACTAGGTTGGAAGAACCGGGAAGGATCGGAAACTCTGATTTCTAGCATTGCAGTTCCCCAAATGCCAGCTGCGAAGATAGGGCAACCGGGCAACGGTCTGATCTCGAGTTGTGGGTGGTGTGTTTCTGTTGCGCGGGTCATACAGCAGCCCACACGACATTCACTGTCGGGCCGTAGTTGTGGCAGTTTGCGGTCTAGGAGCTTCCGGAGGCTCCCCCGGAGGTCGGAGACGCCAAGGAGCCTGGACCGAAACAGACCAGAAATCACACACAACACACAGCACACACCTCACGCACTGAAGGAAGACATGGGGGAAAAGGTAAGCATGGAGCCAGCTGCCCTGAAGGAGGCACAGGAGGCGCTTGACCCATCCACTTCAGCAGAGCAAGTTGCACCAGCAAAGGCCGTCAAAGTATTTTGTGGGTTGCAAGGTATGGACCGTGCGAAGATTTCGGTTGTTCGTGGCTGAAGGCTGAAGCGGAGTCGGAGCTCGCGCAGGAGAAGCAGGAGGTCATTGAAGAGAAGGCAGAATCCTCGGCGTGCTGCACGCGCCGGTGTTGGCTTCAGCGTGCTTGCTGTAGGTGCGGAGACCTCCTGAGCCGCTGACAACGAGCCTGCGTCTGCAAGAGTAGACAATTTGTGGGAGTTGGTTGTCTATGGCATTGCGATGCATGTGAGTGTTTAAGGCTCGAGGAACAAGACTTCAATGACAGAGGGGTGAGCACCCTGGATGAGTCCAAGAAGTTCACCTATGTACTAGGCGATCTGCGCCCTTCATTCCTGCACATGAGCAGCTACTTCTCTGGTCTTGGCAGGCAATGATTACAAGTGCACCTTGACCGGCTGGACGCACACAAGGCCGTCTCTCGGAAGCAGCCAGTTGCTGATGCAGACACGGCTCTGTGCTCATCCAGCGCGGCCCCCTTCGCCGCCCATGCAGTTCAGCCGCGAAAACTAAAGTTTGTGCAGCCACAGAGGTATGCGCGCGGCTTCATTCGCAACAAGCCGGGCAATGCAAAAGCCACGGTTTCCGGCCTAGATCCGGGTGTACTGTACCTATGGAAGGCCGCCGCTGATGTGCCCGTCTGTCTGTGTGCTGTGGTCTGGATGTTCCTTTTTGCAGACACTTTGCTGCCATGCAGGTTTACCAAGTGGCCAAACTTTACGGCAGCGCCAATGGTGCATGCCTCATGCGCCTGCTCTCTTAAGTGCTGCTTAACGGATCTTTGGGCCAAGGCTGACTGCTGTAAGAATCTGTAAGAAGCCTCATGTGTTCTTGTTCCAGCAGCTGCGGTAGACGAGTGGGCGGGCAGAGCACCAAGCGTTACAGAAACACATCGCTGCCGAAGCCGCCGAAGCCAGGCTTGGAAGTCAATGGCGAATCTCAGGGTAGCACCGTGGCGAGCGGCTCCACTGAGGCCCGGTCCATGATCACAACAGCATGAGCGCTTGGGCTTCGCAGGGCCTCGCATGGCCATCGGGAGTACTGAGTACGAAGCCACAGACGATCACAGACGACAAACATCTGCAGACTGCCGGTTGCTTTGTCTATGAGGCCACGGCTTCAGGCAAGACGCTCGCCGACAGTTCAGGGAAGATCCTTGGCAAAGCCTTGGCCCGATCTCCGTTGTTTGTTTTGCCGAATGTGACCTTACTTTGGTATAAAAAGATGCTTGGAGACGTAGGTATTTTCTCGCGCGATGTAGGGTAGGGCCTCTTTGAAGAGAGGCACCAGCAGCACATGAGGTTTACGGAACTTGAGAGGCACATGAATGAAGCGACATGCGCGGGCAGACCGCAAATCCTATGTATATGGCTAGCTGCAGTGCGCCGAACACTATCCCCCCACGACAAATGATGACATGTAAGACGTGGCAAAGTATGGATTTCATATTGCCTGTGTCGGCATGTAAAAAGTGTCTCTGTGTATGTGTGTGTGTGTGTGTGTGCTGTCTCGATGTGTGTGTGTGTGTGCGTCCGCGCGCATGCTCTCTCTCGCTCTCTCTCTCTCTCTCGCTATGGGTGCGTGCGCGGCAAGAACTTCTTCAGGATGACTTTCACCTTCGGCCGCGATGGTGACGAAGTGCACTTGTCTGGTATTGCCGTGGCTCGAGAGGAAGCCAAGGAGGGGAACCTTTGGAGGCATCTAAGCCAATCGAAGCCAACCTAAGCCATCTGAGCTTGAGCTTCATCTTCCCTGTGGAACGTGGTTTTGGTGGAAGTAAGGAAAGTCCTGAAGCCTAAAGCGAAGGCAAAGGAAAAAACAAAGGCAAAATCCAAAAAGGAAGGTCGGCCATGCTGTGCTGAAAAGCTGCGGTGAAGTGGTGCCATGTACAACATGCCTTGAGACAGCGTTGTTTGGAGAGGCAAGTACGATGAGTTCGGCCGAAGGATAGACAAGCCAAAGAAGAAGGAACTATCGTCGTCTGATGAGGACCCTTGACTTTTTGCTTGAAGCAGATGTCGTCCTTCTCGACTTCGGAATATCCGCTGAGCGCTGACTAGGACCTCGACGACTTGTGTCCATCCTCCAGAAAGAATGCGGATTTTGAGCGTGCTGCTTTGGTATGAATAGCCTTCTTGCGCCTGGTGACTTAGTGGGTGTAGCTGAGGGTACGATACAGTACATGGTCCTCAAGTTTCTTCTGCTGAAGCGACCTTAGGAGCTGAGAAGGATGAAGAAGAAGGTTCGAGAAGGCGCAGGGAGCTCTCTGAACGTTCCCAGCGTGCTCCTTCATAACTTTCCAGGCATGACTGAGCAGCAGAGGGAGGAGATGGAGAACCCGTGGCTTTACACGCAGATCTCTGACCAGGCAGGTCGGGGGTCCCTCATTGAAACTGAGTCGCGCAAACGGCTGACAGTCACACTGACATCTGATCCTAAGCTGTGACACTTGAGGAGAGGGAGCTCAAGAAGCAGATGTTCAGAAGCTTCTACCAAGAGCAGTATGTCTTTTGGACCGGCAGATCGAAAGCTGGAGCAAGCACTCTAAGCAGGGGAGTCGTGCTGAAGTTGTCGCATGCACATCGCGATCCTAGGCGCGGTTAAAAAACAAAGCCCAGCCCGACTACAAGCAGTACGAGAAGCACCTCAGCAGCAGAGGTGTAGATAAGACATGGGAATGAGTACTGCAGGCTTCTGTTTCGGCACCATTTTCGTACACCCAATTTTTTTGCTAACTACCGCAGAAGGACTCGAAGCCTTCGGATGCGTTTGAGCTTCGTAGCTTGAAAACCTTCGGCGCCCCCGTGATCCTTGCATAGCCGCATAGCCAGTCTGCCCAAATATCTGGCCTTCCCAGGAGCACCTCACAACCTGAACAAACGCCCTTTTCGCGGCTGCTTCTTTGCGTCTTTGTTGTGCAAAGTGGTGTCGTGAGGAGCGATCCAGAAACCGGGCAGCCTCTTGGATGCCTACTACCGGCTTGTGGGGAATTCTTTTTTACTTGCCCCATGTTTTCCTTTGGCTGAGGTCGGTTGCGGGTGCAAATTTGAAGGCTGAGGGAGGGCATCGGCCCCTACCCCGGCCGAAAGGATTCTCGGCTCGCTTATGCTCAATGGTCAATGGCAGATGGATGTGGCCTGTTGAGCGGCAGCTCTCAGGAATCAAGCTTCCGGCAGACTTTCGGAAGTCGGTCGGACGCATTTCTCAGAAAGAGCTTTTCCAAAAGTACTCCTGCAAAGGACGCATCTGCAAAAGTTGGCATGCTTGCGCGCATGACTTGCCCCCTCCGCAGGAGAAAGAATGCTGATTTCCGTGTACGGCGACCTGTTCGATGTCTCGGTGATGCCCTTTACTACATGTAATAAATGTCCTCGGAAAGAAGCTTCCGTTGTCGTTTTCCGCATGGCAAGGATCGCCCCGACAAGTATGGACCAGACGGCCCATACTGGCACCTGAGCTGCAGCGCACTTCCTTTCTGCGCATGCTGCCTGCCCGACCGTGGGCAAAGGTACATGACCGGGAAAGACATCACCTGGGCGCTCATGAGTGGTGAGGACACTGAGGAGACCATGGACAAGTTTTATGTCACTTGGTGGAAGAGTCTCACACGCCCAGCTGCGTGTGGAATGCATGTGAGTCTAAGGATGTCTTCAAGATTCAGCCGGCCGAAGCTGCAGATAGGTGGCTTCACCAAGAGCTGCATATGTTGAGCTTTCCTGGTTTGGGGGTTTACGACAATAAGGGACCCCCAAAATAGACCCCAAATATCAGGATTCCCCTAAAATAAGGAATTCAATAAGGCACCCCCATCTAGGGAATATTCTGGATCTTGGATGCAAGCTCCCAACCGCGTTCTCACAAGCTCCAGGCGGCTTCAAGGCTTGATGAGCTGGTGGGCCTTCTATGAGAAGGCCAGGCCAGCTGAGACATTAGAATCATTAGAACCCGTAGAGATCGAAACAGAAAGGTGCGCAAGTTGGATTAAGTATTTTGATGTGTATGACGCCTAAGACATAGCCACCTGCGTGAGAGAGCACAGTATAGCGCAGTGTGGAGGGAATGAACGTCAGAAGGCCAGGGTAAGAATTAGAGGTGAAAAGGCTGAGAAATATCCGTCCAGGAAAACAAAGGACAAAGGAAAACACAAGAAACCGCAGCAACGCGAAAAACAAGGGACGGATTCGAGCCTCTCAGCACACAATCTCGACGTGGCAGTTCACCAATATTTGCGTGGTTCGCAGCCACAAGAGGTTGGCCAGCTTTCGAGCATCTGAATGCGTCTCGTTGACTGTCCGGCAGTGACCTAGCAGCATAGCCGAAGACCAGTGTTCCACAAAATTCCGCATCGGCTCAACTGGAATTCTGGACGACCCACGGCAGAGCAGAATGCCACTGATCGAAGCAACCGCCCTTTCAGAACGCTGGTGTTGGACAGAACCGGGCAGAAGAGCCTGCAACTCTGACATTCAAGACTCAAGCCAGCATGTTCCTTAAACTTGATATCAAGAGAACGCTTTGGAGTGAGTGTTGCGCCAAACAGTGTCTATGAGGCTCAGAAAACAGCTTTGTGCAGAGCGTGCGTGAAGTGACTAAAGGATCCAAAGCCAGCCTCCCCAAGTTCATCAGACTTGGGAACGCTCTTTATTCTTGCTGAACACAATATGTCGACAAGTTCAGAACAATCCGCTTTGAAGAAAAATGGTTCTTTTGGGCCGACTAAGGCCGACAAGCTGCTGTGCCCATGCTTTGCCCCTGCTGTGCTCCCTTGTGCCCCTGCAAGCGCTGCCGCGTCCTGCTGCCTTTGTGGCCAAGGGGGCAGCTGTTGCGCATGGCGACATCTGTGCTACCATCATTTGGTTTGCTCGTGGGCCGGCTTGCAGCGAAGAAGGAAAGGCTCTCTTCTACCACGGCCCTGTTTGGACGGGGACCCCGTCCACATTCGACTTTGCCATCGCCGCCCCCTGTAGCGGTCAGGTTGTCGCCGGGCTCATCCTGGAGCCCTCGCCTGTGATAGCGTGCGAGAGCCTGTGCATCATTTGCACTGTTCTTGTGCATACCATGCAGCACGACCGGGGGTTGCGGTAGTGGCGTAAGGTTACAAGCAAACACCGCTTCCTGGAGCCAGCGCGTGGCACGCGCCGGCGTGGCTCAGGCTTTGATGCCTCTTGCTTCAGGCCTGTGCCGTGATCTATGTTGGCGTACGTTTGCAATTCGGCTGCTGCCAGAAGTGCCGGCTCCGTTGTTTGTTTTTGTTTTGTTTCTATCCTCTTCGCGCCCTCCCCAAACGGACGCAGGAGCTTGCGTGCTTCAGCGGTTCGGTACACTTTTCGACAGTCTCTGAGTTCCCTTCCGGCACAATTGGGCCGAAGGGGCCGACCTCGACGCGGTTGGTTCCTGTTGGGTCAGTATTCCCTCCCGATTTGTTTGTGGAAGAGCTGCAGCATGCTGCGGCCTTTCGCTCCTTTTCTTACGCCCTTGGGTGGCCGCAAGCACCACTCGCAAGGAAAGTCGGAGCAGCGAATGCCTGGCACGGTTTGGGGCATGCGCTGAGCAAGATGATTGTAGCCCCCTCCTTGCCCGTAACACCCATGAACGTGGCGAGACGGTTTTGGCTGCTCAATCTCTTAAAGACTTGCTGGCTGTTCTCAAAATTCCACTGTGCCTGCGTGATATGTGGAGTGGCACCTCATTTCCACAGATGTGGAGATGGGGCATAGTTTCATGGGTCAAGGGTTTGGGTCCAGTGTAAGAGCCTCTCCCGTCGAGAGCTCTTGAAAGGATCCCCCAAGCAGCTAAACGCGTTCTGAAGTGTAGATATTTTCTGCTGCCATAAACGGCACGGGGTGATTTGCCACCGGCAACTTGTTTGTCAATCATGCCTTCAGAGCATACTCGGCAAAATATGTGTGCTGCTACTGTATGGCCAAGGATCAAGAACAACGCAAGCAATGAAAGTGAATTGCAAGTTCTGTGGTCTTCTGCGGCAGATGTGCGCCCGAGGAGTACGGCAAGCCCATTGGCCGGAACACTGCCTACGACAAGGAATGGGGCTTGCCCGCCCCACCTCACATGGCCGACGGGTGCTCCGTCATGTGACGTGTGAGATGCCCGTTCCCGGCTACTGTATGCTTGCCGCAACCTTCCGTGCACGAAGACGTTCCTGTGCAATTTCCCAGTGCTGGGGGGGGTGCATGGACTCAGCTTGTTGCTGTACCACTCCTGGCGACAACAGCATCTTTATAGGCTGTTAGAGCTGTTCAAAGAAGTTGTCACTTCACTTCTTTGATGTTCGAATGCAGCGTCCATGCCCCCTGCCTCGAAGCAGGGCAGGCCACTTGTGACCTCCAACTGAGGCCTTGATAAAATCAGTGAAGCAGCAAAAATAAGCAGCACCAGATTGCCATACCAGTTTCAGATTCAGCAAGGCTGAACAAGGCTGAAGTTTGATTTCTTTGAGCCCTTGAGCTCTACTGCAGGGCGCTTGGCATTCAAACGAATGGTCCTTGGCCCTAGGAACCATTAGGAACATGTAGGATCCAATGTGTCAGGTATCTCGAACCCTGTTTCAAGGCGAGGCAGACCTCCACCTCGATGTTTCTGCGAGTGCACGGCACTCGCACCCGATGACCCCGCTTCAGCGAACCGAAAAAGCTAGCTGGTACGGCGCAAGCCGGTATCTTGTCAATTCTCTATCCGGTGGAGAGCGGAGTGCGCGACGTGCTGTGACAGCTCAGGATGACCCCCTCCATAGTGGGCTACTCGTTCTACAGCTGCAGAGTTGACGGCTCAGACCTGGATTTCTTGGATTTCTGGGCTCCTGCGGCGTTGGACGTGTTCATATTTCATTCCATTTCAATGTCGCGAGGTGCTCCAACTACCAGAAACTGACGCACCTTTGGCAAGGGCCCTGTGCTGCATCAGACCGTGCAGACTGGAACGCAGCACTGAAGCCCACTCCATGCGTGCCCCGCATAGCCCCTTCTTCCTCCCACCCCCCTTGTGAGCTCGGTGGCCGCTGGTACCTTCTCTGACCATCGGACAGCTGCTAAAGCATTCGGGGGCCGTCTTTTCCAAGGACTTGAGTGTCTCGATCTCTGGGTGCGACGTGCAGACAGTGCTCGGATCCAGGGCGGAGGCTCGCTCCCATTTTCAGAAACCTGCGCAATACTGCAGGCGGATCAGGCGGATGGGCCGAACTGCTTGTGACTTCTCCTAGGCGCATCTCAGCTACTACACACTCCTGGGTTCCGGCTGGATGGAGATAGTGAACAAGACTCTTCGCGTAGATGCCATGTACAGCCGTCTCTTCCCCAGACTTCTCTAGCATGCTACGGGAGCTCGCCTGTTTTCCGACATGCAGCTGGACTCGAGGCAGAGTTTTGATGCTCGGCTGTAGGCCGTGATCCCGGCGCGATGGTGTTTTTGTGTGCTTGTGCGCGATCCGATACCAGAGGCTGATTCTTCACCTGCCCGAGTCGGAAAGAGGATGGGCATTCGCGAACTCACAAAACCGCTAGCTACTCGACGCTTTCTTGGGCCAGGCTTCCATTTCAACTCTGTCAACATGTCCATCCAGCACCTCGGAACCAATATTTGTAAATCTGTGATTCGCCACTCATTGTTCAGCAATGGTGCAGTGAGGCCAGATGCCTCCAGCGAGGCTGCTGTGAGTTTCCACCTTGGCATGTCCTAGCTTGTCCTTCACTTTGCCAGGGCGACGACTATGAGACGTCGATGACGAGCATCAGTTTATCTCACCTGCGTGTTCGCCAGGGTCTTTTGCAGAGATATCTCTTGTATGGAGGTCAGATTCTTAATTTCACGACCCGTTCGAGGTGGCAGCTGTCATCTGGATGTCTCCGCGACGGCCACGAGCCGAGTTGCCATGGCAAGGGTACTTGTCTTTCTGCACGCAAGGTAGATGAGCCGATTCAGAAGCCAGCAAAGAATCAGAACTAAGCTCATCACTATCATTCCCGAAATCTAGCAACCATGGTGTCCTCCGATGCGACCAATCCCCACATCAGAAACTACGACTTTTGATCCTTCTTTGTGTTCCTTTTTATGGCCCTCACAGCAAGTGTGAGCTGTGTTTCCAAGTCAGCTGCGTAAAAGCTTCCGAATCAGGCGGTTCTCTCAATATGGTTGTAGTTGCCCAAGACATGAAAAGCCATAGAGCCTGGGTCAGGGTTAGTTTCCGCCAGAAGCAAATCCGTTTGCAGAGCTCTTCTGGAGGAATTCATAAATCGAAAGCGTCGAATGGGGTGACAATTGATGGCCAGGCTCGCACCTTTCTGGCAGACATCAGCGCAGCATCACTTGAGGCAGCTATGTTCCGGGAAGAAGTGTTGTCACGAAACGGGAGAGTGTTTGTTGCGTGCAAAGGTCCATGCCAAGGGTGGCTACGTTGGACTCCGTCATCGAAAGCCCGCAGATGGAAAGGCTGGCCTCCAGTTTGCCTGTTCTGTTCATTCGACCCTGTGCATCGTGCTGTCTTCAGAGGTCGGTATCCATGCTCAGGACGCGCGAGAAGAGGACATGGCTTTGTTTCATCGCGGGTTGGAGAAAGCTTCAGGACGCGATGGTGTCAATCCGGACCGACGGCGTTCCCCTGCAGGCAGCCGAGATTTAGGGATGGATTCAGACCCCGATGTTTGTTACTCTGGAGGCCGAAATGTCAGATGAAATCTTCAAGTATGCCTGCAGCCGAGTTCAGATGCACAGCTTGGGAGCGAGTGCATGTGCAAGTTGGCCCATTGCTAGCCTGGGCATTCCTGCAAAAAACTCATCGAGTGCAGGCGGCATTGGCTGCACCGGTCCTGCACCATCAGGCAAAATAGGTTGTTGCAAGGACAATACTGCAGTAAAAAGTGCGTGCGCACGTGTTAACAGAAAGCGTGCGCGTGCGCGCGCGCGCGCGTGTTGGCTTGTCTCGAGCGCTCATGCCTAGTGCCACTTGCCTAGGTGTTCGCAGGATCCGGGGCTTAGCAAAAAGTCACCGACTTCGTCTATATAACCAGGTCTCCAAACATACAACGTAGTATATATACATATATATTATATAAATATAAAAATAATTAACATGTGTGTGTGTTTTCAGAAGCGTGTGCGGAAGCGTGTGTGTAAGTGTGTGCGGAAGCGTGTGCGTGTGCATACGCGTGTGTGCGTGTGAGGGCGTGCGAGTGCGCGTGTGCTGCATGCGTGCGTGGGCGGGTGGGCGGGTGGGCGGGTGTATGTGTGTTTGCATGTTTCGCAGGCGGGCTTTGTCGTGCCTGCTGTGTCGAACAGTTTGAATGTAATACCAGAAGTCCACGGGCTTCTTCAGGTTTGGTCCAGCATGGTGTTAAAGGGTTATCACAATCTCCCATGTTGTCAGGCCAACAATAACAAGTCCGCAAGTATGCTTCGAGCATACCAGCTGTGACGATCTTAACTGGAAGGGACTACTCGCGCAAAGCCTTGCGTTGTGAAGCAGGTAGAAGAATGAGGTCCGGCATGCCAGCCGCTGGCTGGCATTCCAAGCCTATCCAGTTAATGGTTCATGGAGAAGGCACGGTACACACGGAGTGCTCTTGAACAAGTGTTCCGTGCGTTCCCTGCCATGGCTGTAGGAAGCACGGCCTACATCCAGGCAAGTGGTTTTCACACTGGATACGCAGCATGCAGTGTATGCGTCTTCCTCAGGCATCCGATCCTGGGGCGCATCATGAACACACGCGCCGCCCTCACACCTAGCAGCTGCATCGCGGCCTCGAGCCCGACAGAGAGTTGCGGCTAGGTGCAAGACCAAACTGCAGGTTGTCAGGTGCATGGCTCGGTTTATTGTTGCCAGCTTGCTTTCGGTTGCCCAATGCATTTTCCAGGGGCTCGGCAGCAGCCGAAGAAGGCACTGTGCTCCTGCCTGCGACCCGAGAGCCCCACAGCTGCAAATTCGCAACACCTCGAAAGCGATCACCACGCACTTGGATGCGCTGGTCACCTGATGTACCTTTGAGCCTTGACCAAGGCTCCTCGGCAGGGTGCCTCAGTACCAGGTTGCACTGAGACAGGGATCCAAAGCTATCATCGCTAGGTCGCCTGTCGAAGTGGCTCCAATCGGAGAAGATGAAACAGGATGCTGGCGACCTCCTGTGCCACCTGCGGTAAGGAACAGATGACCTGAGCATGAGGATGGCCTGCAGGAGCCGAGGTATGTCGTGAACCTGCACTTGCTGACACCGAATGCCCCGCCTGGAATGCTAAAGCTCCTCTCGCCATAATCTCAAGCCCAGTCGCGGTGTTCTCCACCTTTCTGACTTGTCGGCTTCCTGAGGTCCACTGTGTACCACGCCATGTCGCTCTCCCTAGCCTCACTTGTGACGGGCGGGATGCTGCACGGCGCTCAGAATCAGAACCGTTCAGGACCCAGGCCTTCCCAATGCAAAGCCATGCAAAGCCATGCAAAGCCTGTGAGTTCTGTTACGAAGGCGGCCGTCAGTGCACCGCATCGTAGCCCCGGTCTCTGGCATGAGCTGGCTCTTTCCAGAGGTGCAGATGTAAGACATTAAGACATGCCGAGGACTTGGCAACCGTAGATGCGTGTAGACGTCCTTGCTGCAGGATGGCTGCAATCATTCTGGTGTTCACCATGAGGAGGCGGAGTAGTGGTGGCTCTGCTCTGCGGCAAAGCTTTTTTTGGCCGACTGCAGGACGGCTATCTGCACTTCGGTACGCAGCAGCTGCAAGCAGTCTCACCTGAGGCACTTGGGGCTTGTTGCAGCTAGCGCCCCCACAACCGCACATGGTTTTTTCAGCGTTTTTCCGGATCTTGACTGGGGAGTTGGGGGGTGTGGGCGGGGGGTGCGGGTGGGTGGGTGGGTTGGTGGGTGGATGGGGTGGTAATAACGTTCCTGCTGACCTTACAGTAGCCCTGATTCCCCAGAACCGAAAGTTTTTGGGCACCCCTCCACACGCAGAAAGAAATGCAGAAAGAAAGAACGAAAGAAAGAAGCAAAGACAAGCAAAGAAAAGCAGAATGAACGACAAAAAGAAAACAGGTACAGAAAGAATGACACAAAACACGAAATGACATAAAACAAGGACAAACAACCCGACGAAAAGAACCAAACATTCAGTTCATGAAGAAGTATCAAGCTACATAAAGACCAGAAAAACGAAGCAATCAGCAAAGAGAAGAACAAGACAATCAGAACACAGTTCTTTACAGTGTTTTTGCCTCTTTGTACAACATACGGTAGAATCAACACAGCACCCCAAAACGCTAACTTACACCGCAAGCACGGACTTTGCCCTGGAAGCCTGCAACCCCTCAAACTTCTAGTAGCCTCAAAACACAGCTTGCATCCCTCAAGCCGCACAAACACGCGCGCAGAAGCCACGAAGAAAGACGTGTTCTTCATTGTTACCAGATTGCCTCAAGAAAGCTTAACTCAAAGCGTTTTAGACCACAATGAGCGATTCCTGAAAAAGCCCACGTACGGATTCAAGGGCAGCGGGTTGTTCCAGGACCGTCCCTCAAGGCGTAGTACGCTACAGCAGCGGCAGCATGGTTTCTGTCAGGTGGACATTGTCGGAATGAACCTTACCTCCGCAAGGCGAAGACAGTGTAAGTCCACGAAAGCAACGCCACATTTCTCAGCAAAGTTTGTGGCACACAGATGCAGGTGGATATGGGATCCGAAGGGTTCCAAGGCATACGTTTTTGACAAGGTTGACGCTGCTTGGCTTCATTCTGAGGGCTCTGACTGGCTTCATGGCTTCATGGTGGCTCTTGCTAGACTCATGCCAGACTATGCCGAGGAAAAGCATGGCTTTTTCTGGAGGCCGGTTGAAGTCGGATTCTCAGTGGGTTTGTGGGACAGCCATTTCATGGTTCAGGCCGCGCCATCTAACCCTCAAGGAGTGCTGGTTCTGGATTTCCGCGTGCCTGCTTCTGAAGATGCCATAAGATGCCAGGATTTTTGGATCTTCCTCGCCGCCTCGGGCATCACGCTGGTAATAGGCCTTGCGGCCGGGGTGGTGGCCGCTGCCTCGAGCGCCTCGAGCGGGCAGATGTTGCATCTGTCCGCTTTCGTGATTCTTCAAGCCCTCACAAAATCTGTTCGGACTGTTCTCGAGTTTTCAACTAGATGCGAACCATGGCGAGCCACATTGCTCGAGTCCATGTTTGAAACATAGCCGTAGCCATGTCGGTGTTCGGCCGGATCGCCGGAGGCGAAGCAGAGTGGGATCAAGCAGAGGGAGATGAAGCAGGGTGGGATTAAGCAGAGTGGGAGGGAGTGCCCAACAAAAAACACCATACTTGATAAGAAAAACAAGTGCTGGTACTTGCACCGCAGTTGTGTTGTGTTCAAAGATCAAAGGGATACTACTCACGCTTGTCAAAGAAGGTCCTATTGGATAGGGTCGTAAGAAAAGTTACGACTGCTAGTACTAGCAATCACATGTGCATTGACCCGGGAAACTGGGTCCCCTTTTCCGGGGGGGGCGAAGACGACATTCGAAGACGAAATTTGAAAACGAAATTCGGCCCAGCCGAAATTAGGCCCTGAAGACGAAATTCGGCACTGAAGACGAAATTTGGCCCCTGAAGCCTAAATTCGGCCCTGAAGCCTAACTTGGGCCCCTGAAGCCGAAATTCGGCCCCGAAGACGAAGAAACTCGGCCGCTGAAGACGAAATTCGGCCCTGAAGCCGAAATTCGGCTCCTGAAGACGAAATTCGCCCGGAAGCCCAAATTCAGCCCTGAAGCCGAAATTCGGCCCTGAAGCCGAAATTCGGCTCCTAAGACGAAATTCGGCCCCGAAGACGAAATTCTGGGCCATTTTAGGCTGCCCGGGGCCGAATTTAGGCTTCAGGGGCCGAATTTCGTCTTCAGTGCCGAATTTCGTCTTCAGGGCCTAATTTCGGCTGGGCCGAATTTCGTCTTCAAATTTCGTCTTCGAATGTCGTCTTCGCCCCCCCCCCCCCCCCCCGGAAAAAGGGACTCACTTCCCCGGGTCTCTGCACATGTGCACTCATCATGGTGATAATGGTAAACGGTTCTAGTGACCATGGTTATGCAAAATTCTAGTAGTATTTCTGGTATCCTAGTAGCAGGCAGTTCAGTAGTAGTACTAGTACTAGTACTAGTACTAGTAGTAGTAGTAGTAGTAGTAGTAGTAGTAGTAGTAGTAGTAGTAGTAGTAGTAGTAGTAGTAGTAGTAGTAGTAGTAGTAGTAGTAGTAGTAGTAGGAGGAGTAGGAGTAGGAGTAGGAGTAGGAGTGGGAGTGGGAGTAGGAGTAGGAGTAGGAGTAGGAGTAGCTCATGCTCACACTCATACCAATACTATGCTAAAGTGACTGCTGATGTTGGTTATGAAAATCATTACCGTTTTAAAATCATGAATCAGAAGATGAAATTTGGCTTCCTGCCGCGAGGTCTCCGCCAGGCTTCCCTCCTGAGTGCTCGCAGCAGGGGCGTTCCAACGACTCTGCCGTGGGCTCCCCTGGCTCCGGCTCGAGCTCGCTTCTCCGGTGCTTGGCCTCAGAGAACCTCAGAGCCCCAAGCGCAGTGACTTAAGACTTCTGTGGGACTTGCCTTGAGATTTGTGAGACTAAGATTCCAAGATCCCTCAGTACTTGAACTCGTGGGTTGAGCCGGAGGCGACTTTCGTGACCTGCCGCGCTCGCAAGTCACTTTCTGAAAGGCCTCTCCTCCTCATGAAGTTTCTGCTAGGCTCTCTGGGAGTACAATGACCACATGGAGCGGACCAACAGAGCCAAGGAGGTGGATGCTGAGGCCACGCCGCGCAGTGCACAACAACTCGATTCGATCCGCCCCCAAGACGTGACATGCCTTTTTTGTGACACCTCAGGTGGGTGAACTGGGAGACCGCAACAAGGCGTGGCAGAAGGAGACGGTCAAGGTGGATCCAGAGCACCTCGTCAGAGAAAGTATGGTGAAACACGAGGTGGCAATTATGCAGATCTCGACGGGGTAAACTGGCACTTCTTGGTGCAGTGTTCTGCGTTTCGTACCCAGCATGGCTCAGGTTTTTCACACGGATTGGGCAGGCAAGCTAGCAGAAAGGAGAAGAGCTTGGCATCACTGTACGGTTTCTGTTTGCTTTTGCCCAGGGGCAGGCTCCAAAGTACCTCTGGATTGGCTGTGCCACGGCTGCCGTTGCCAGATGTTGCCAGCTCGACCCAAAAAAGCCACAGTATACATACATACATATATATATATATATATATATTACTCGTACTTAGATGTGTATACATAAATATGTATATACAGAATCCCTCAAAAGCCAAGGTGCGGACAGCCGTGTTGCTGCCGAGAACCTGATTGGCGGCAGGCCTGGGGAGCTATTTACACACCGCGCCCGGGCCGCACGTAGGGAACAGAAACCTGAAAAAAATGTACTGACAAGATTCTTTTGAGATACACAAAGGACTTATATACAATTAATCTGAGATAATCTGAGTCCACTTGCCAGCTTTGAACAACCTTGTGCGTTGAGGCAATATTGCAAACATGGCCGCGCCCCCACAGTGGTCTTGTGTGGCTGTTTAGTGATGAATTTGTTCGCAAGGGTGGTGGTGGGTGCCCCATCTGCGCATCTGGGCTTCCCCTCGAGGTTGTTTCGACTGACACAAACATGCGGTCCGTGCTGCAGTATGCAGTGGACTATCTCCAAGTCCGTCACGTCATTGTAGCTTTGCTGCATTTCTTCCAGTTGGGCATGCCAACGGGCTCAAACGCCCACAGAGATTTTGAAGCACGCTGAGGTTTGCGGCCACTACGATTGTCCTGGCCTTGGGCATGCTTTGCTGGTTATCCAATGAATAGACTTTGAATAGACAGCACGGAGAGACCCAGCTTGTCCAGACAGGGGCTTGTGTTGGGGGGGGGAGGCGGGGGGGGAAGGGTTGGCGTTCCCAACTTCACCAAGGCGGCGGCATCAAGGCAGCCTGCTCTGTGAAAGACCACGATCTTCCTCTGGAGAGTTGGCTGTCATCGACGCCGGGACTGCATGCAAACGCCATTTAGCACAACATCACAGACCAATCTTCGACCTTAATCAAGCAGGCTTGCAAGAATCGAAGCTCTACCAGCTCCGGTTACAATCCCTGCACGCACAACCCTCTCCGGAGTGATTCGTCCAGCTATGCGGGTGCCAAATAACAAACGGCCATATGGTATTATGATGTGACATTTGATGTGTACATGGTATACTGCGCCATGCCAGCTTGTGCATGGCAGTGTGTGCCCAGAATCCGTGACGTCTACCGCTTGCACAAGGACGAGCTTGAAGCGATCGATTGCTGCTCGGACGCACAGCCTCAGCTACGTCTGCTTGCTTTGTTTCTTGATGCGGAAAGAATCAGGTGAGCAGGAGCGGCACAAGCGCATGGTGGAACTCAATGTGATCGAGCAGTGCCTGAACCTGTTCAAGACCAGCACCCTGTCCGCACCATTGCTAATGCTCTTGCAGTCAGAGCGTCAGCGCACGTGGCCCGAGTGGCTGCAGGTGACATCCAGCGTCGACGGCGATACACAGCAAGTCGACCAGACGAGTTTCCATGTGGCCTCCCAAAATCCAGGAATTTTGGTGTTCCATCATGTTCATCCTTTGGTGCTGTGGAATCAGAACAAAGGTGCGTTGCCGCGCATTCATGCCATGGTCTTTTCGCCGGCTGATGGAATTCTGCGTCGTTTGACGCGCGGCGGCGGGTGAGGTACACGTATGCAAGATGCAAATGCAGTCGCGTATGCCAGCGTTGAAAAGGGGGGTGTGTCCCCGACAGAGTGTTGGGACCCCATGCCGGGAAAGTGTTGCATGCTGTGAACGAAAGTGGACGAGTTTGACCAGAATCTGTCTGCAGCACAGGAATGTAGACTACAGAAAGCACCTGGGCGACGCGATCAACATCTACCACCTGTGCTCTCGGGAGAACTTCAGTTGCGTTGTGCTTTATATAGCCTTATTGGGTCAGACTGACCGTAAAAGTCGAAACCACCCCTCCTCAGCTTGCGCCTGGTGATGTGTCCCTGTTTCATCTCTAGTCCGGGTTTGGGCTTGGGGCCCGGAAACTCGGAGATGTGTATAGGTGTCTGGGTGCGAAGGGCTATCCTCCTCTCCTCACCCATGAGTCGGTGAGCAGTGTGGCTAAGCCCCGGGAAAGCTTTGTTCGTAGTAGTTGGTTGAGTTGCGTGTGTCGTTTTAGTTGGTTGGGTGTAGCATTGGTTGTGTTTCAACAGCGTCGGTTTTTGCCAAAGAACTAGAATGGAGAAACGACCATGAAGGAACTCGTTGTGCGGCACTGCTCAGCACGCGAATCGAAAGTAAAGAAAAGGCCCTCTAAGAACACTCATCGCCAACGTCCTCGATCTACCCCAAAGCGCCCTTTCGCTGCGTATGCTGCCGAAAGCCCCGCCTTTAACCCCCACCAGCTGGCCAGGGTGCAAGTCTCAGCAGTTGGTGTACTCGCCCTCGGCACCACGAAAAAGTAGGGAGGTGGACCGGCTTGCCCGTGTTCGGCCTACGCTCCCGCGAACACTTGTGCCTGCAGGCCGCAAAGGCCTTCACTCCCTGGCACTGCCTTGCACGTGCCCTGCCAGAAGCAACGCCCGGAGAGCCGAGCACGCTAAGCGAATGCCAAAAAGTCAAGCAGGTGGGCAGCCCCAGAATGAAGCCACTGTAGGAGAAACACTCGACACGAGATAGGCAGCGCTCTTTCGGGCGACCTGGGTGACCGGCACCTCACTTGTGAAACCGCCCATACCGCCCTCAAGAGCAGTTTTCACCAGCTTCTGGACTGCCCTCAGAAGTAGGATCACCAGCAGGGAGGACTTGTCCCTGTGGACTTTTGCCCAGCGTCCCCCCTGTGCCACTCTGGCGAGGGCCTTCCGCGGCAGCGTCAGCATGTTGCGAAGGTTCGCCTCTGCCTGCAAACTTATCCACCACCTGGGCCGGTGCGTTCCAATTTGCCCAAACACGACGCTTTCGTCCACCCAGGGATATACGATAAACGAAGCATAGGATCCGGTTCACCAAGACAACCCGCAGAGGACAGACCCCTAAAAAGGGACCCGAAAAGGGACCCGAATTTAGAGAACTACACATATGGTGCCCGTCCCTCACCGCATTTGTCGCGAAGACATGTGAAGCCACAAAGCACCCAACATGTGCATGGCAGCCATAAACGAAACCCCACCACAAAAGAACAGGTACGACGATCCACTCCTGGACACCGAGGACGAGGTGATTTAAACGAAACCAACCCCAATTGTGACGGATGCTTGCATGCTTTCGCTGTGCAGTCCGTCGTTCCGACGAGATGTTAACAAGCCCCGACATCCGGAAGCTCATGTTGCCGTTCATCGTTTAAAGACGTGAAAGTCGTCTCTTTTAAACAGGCGATGCGCAAAACTTGTGCAGACTGCCATGCGGGAAGCAGTGTCTACCTGCTGCGCTGGCAAGAGACAAAAGACGTGGGATGGGCCCGTTTTGGGCCCGTTTGGGAGCTCCGCCACTTGTCCTGCCTCTCTTTGTTGTTGGCAGTTGTGGATTCGAGGTCTTGCTTATCTTGTGGGTTTTGGCCTTCACCTCAGTTCTTTTCTGGAGCACGAGCTGCGTATTTGGGCAGACCAAGCAGACTGCCATGCAACATCAAAATTCCATCGACTTGCGGCAGAGCGATGCCCATACTGCCAGTCCGGTGAGGTTATTCCAAGTCTCAAAGAGCAGATCCAGAAGAACAACCTATTCATGACTGCATCATACAGGCCGCAAAAGGGGCCTCAAAAATGTGAAATGCCAATGACATGGTCGTGACCGTGACAGGATGCAGCACTCCAGGGACAGCGACACTTGGTCCTTGCACCCAACCATGGTGCACTGGCCGACGAGAGGAGCCAGGGCCCCTTTGTGGAGAGCTTCTTGGGAGCCTCTGAAGCCGGGAGTTTTCGGAGGGCTCAGAAAGCTCGGACCTTTCCGGTCCAAAAACGCAGCGAGGTACTGTTGCGCTGGGCGAAGCGGCCAAAAGGCATGCAGACCGGCCCTTAGAGCAGGGACCATCCTTGGGGGGCTTTTTCTACCGCTTCGCCGCTTCTCCCGTGGCCATCAGAGATTGCAGAGCATCCGCCAACGCAGGTTTCATACAATTTGCGTCCAGGCGGGGGTGCAAAACTGCACAACTGCAAAATGACGTCTGGCCTCGACTATATGATTCATACCTAAAGGGTCCCTGGTTCTTTCGTGTGCGTGGGGGGGGGGGGGGGAGAGAGAATGTTCGAGAGCAGAGGGATTGGGAAGCATGATCGCGCCATGGCATCACGTACTGCCAGAAAAGCAGGCCAGACTCTGGCCTGATGCAGCGTCGGTCGAGGCTCCCGTGCTCCTCTCGTTTCATAGGCTTTTCCTTGTGAAGCGCCCCCCCGTGTTGGCGGCGTCTCTTTGTGTGAATTGAGTGAATTGAGAGTGTGATAGCGTGTGTTGTGTTTTTTCGTACGAGTTTCGTGATGCATGCGCCAGGGCTACAAAGGAGTCGTGCGAACGCACCATATTCATTTTCACAAGCTGCCGGCCCCGCAGGACTTCCCCCCGTGCAAGTGCCAAGTACCAACATGTGGCAAGAGCAGTCGAAAGCATTTCTCTCTTTCTCACTCTATCTCACTCTCTCTTTCTCTCTCTCTCTTTCTTTCTTTCTTTCTTTCTCTCTCTCTCGCTTTGTCTCCTCTCTCTCACTCTCTCTCTTTCTCTCTCTCTCTCTGTCTCTTCTCTCTCTCTCTCACTAGCTCTCTCTCTCTCTCTCTCGCTCTGGCATCTTCCTACAATACCTCATCACTTTCTCCCATGTATCTCCCTTTCATTTGATTCTTTCACTTTCCCTGTCATCTCCATCGCTCGTTTCTTTCCATCTCTCCCGCTCTCTCTCTCTCTCTTTCTGTCTCTCTTTGTCTGCTCTATTTTCCTGTTCTCTGATCCTCTGACTCGCACGGCGTTTCCCTTTCAACTCTCGTGTATCTGTTTGTCTCAGTGGCTCTCTCTGACTCTCTCTATCATCTTCCTATCTCATCTCTCTTTCATCTCCCGCGTATCTCTCTTTAATCTCTTTCTTTCTTTCTCTCTCTCTCTCTGTCTCTCTGTCTCTCTCTCTCTCTCTTTCTCTCTTTCTCTCTCACTCTCTTTCTTTCTCTCTGTCTCTCTCTCTCTCTGTCTCTCTCTCTCTCTTTCATCTCCCTGTAATTCCCTTTGCACATATCCATTTTCCGTGTCTCTCGCTCTCTAATCCAAAGCATTCACGACAGCTCCACCGCTCCGCACAGCTTCACAGGAGTTTCCGGACATGAAATGCTTCCTTTTCGTCGTGGACCCGAAGCAGGATGTCGGGCCAGGGGCCGAGAACACATCTTGGCATACTCTTAGCAGGGGTAGTACCTGACTATTCTGGTTGGTGTTGAGAGTCGCAGCCTTAAGGCGGGAGGCTCGCTCCATGACCGCCGTCGACAACGAACTTGCGGCACTAGGCAGGGTCAGAATGAGAGACTTCTGGGCGGATCTCCCCTTCTTCTAAACTAACGAGGCAAGCTGCAGGCCGCGCAGGACCTGTGAGAAGACTTGGGTATTCTGCAGCAGGCATGTCCGGGCGGAAATGCAAAACGAGAGCTCTTGCCTGCGGTCGGCAGGAGCAATCGCCGCTTCATGCGGGGAAGTCGTATCAGTTTCAGGCAGGTTCGAAAAACGAAGAAACAGTTGGCGGTCTTGTGGTAGTCTTGCGAAAGCAGGTGGGGTTCACTAGGGGCGCCTGGAAACACACCGCAACACTTATGCCGGCATCTCTTTTGAGAGGTGATCGCTTACGATGACGAAGGCAGCGTGGTCGAGGCATGCCAGGGACTTTTGCCTCACTTCCCGGGTTTTGTGTTTGGTCGGCTCTAGTTTCTTGTATCTCTTCTTCAGCCTTCACTTTTTGGGGCATCCGAACTCCGATTGCCACAGACATCCGCCTGGTCGCGGCCGACAACCATTGACGTCCGCAGGCCCCTGATATTTAGATGCTTTTCGGGTTTTTTCGGGGAACAGCTCTGATAGCTCTGGCATCCCTCGGAGCTCTGATTGGGAACACATTTGGGCCTCAGGAAGTTTGTCGAGCTCCCTTTGCTGCTGTGGCAAGGCGGGATCTGGGTTCCGAGAGTCTCTGGAGTCTCTGGAGTCTCTGGAGTCTGGAGTCTCTGGAGTCCCTGGAGTCTCTGGAGTCCCTGCGTTCTGGGAAGAATTCTCAGGCTGGTGCCGAATCGTGCCGTCGCTGGCCCAAACGGACTCCTCGTGCATTGTCGTTTGATAGTAACTTATTGCCAAGTTCCTCCGCAAGGTCCAGCACCTTCAAGTATTTCGTGAAAAAGCACTGCGTCACCTTGCCAAAGGCGCCGCGAACTTGCTCGTCACTGCTCGTCACTGCTCGTCACTGCTCGTCAATGGGAAGGATCCGGCCATGAGGATCAGGTCTGGGGGCCCTATCGAAGGGCTCAGTTGGAGTGATTGGAGCGAGTCTTGCGCTGCGGAATCCTGCCGCTGAGCCGAGGTTGAAGCAGCTCCGGCTGCCCAGTCCTCAGTTTGTGGGAAAACCGCAGGCAAACTACACGCGTGCCCACACGCCTGCACACCCAAGCGAAAGCCCATGCGGTATAATTTAGATGCGCAGCTAAAGATACGAGACACGCTGCACGGATAGAACCCGTGAGAAACGCGAGAAGGCTATGCGGCCAGTCTTTGCGTTGACCGCTGGAGTTGTCTTGGGCCTTCCAGGGATTCCAGGGGGTAACACCACGCACCTCAAGGAGCTCATGCCGAGCTCGCCTTGTGGCAGCATACGCGTAACCTACACAACAGGTATACGATGTAGACTATGCCGTTTCCAGCATACGTGATATTTGAGAAAAGGAGACAGATAACCACCGATATCTCCAGTGGCGAAGAAGCGCCTTTCTCTTTGTATAAGGACCCTGGTCTCCCCGGGTGCAGAGTGCCTGGCCGGCGCACCGCCAGCCCCAGTAGGGGCGGAGACCCCGCTCGAGCAGGCTGCGCGGCCCACTGCACCAAACGTGCCGGGGGATATTTTGGCAATTTTTCAAAGGCTTATGATTCACTTGTGAGAATCTTTTGTTTATATGGTCGTGTGACATCATGATCTCTTTAAATGTGATGCAGTATCACGACATGCACAGTTGTCATGGGTTGTCGATTTTGACCGGGAGATCGAACCATTGTGAGCCAAGACAGGTGCAGGTCCTGTTCTCCACGTCTGGAGGCAAACTCAAGGCCTCGTGTGATGAACCGCGGCGGAGCGATGCAGTTGCACTGGGCTTGGCCCGCTGTAATGTGCATGCGTGTTCGCGGGCAGGCAACCGACCAGGTCCTGCTTCCCTCGCGGGATGAGCGTAAGGAGAGGCGACTGCAGAAGCCGATGTCCGAGGCGATGAGAAGCAAGGGTCATGAGTTCTGGGTTCGGCCACGCTTTCATTGCGCTTACATGCCGAAGCAGGTTGTGCTGCAACTGCTTGCTACAGCTGTGTTGCAGGTGTTTCCAGGCTCGGTCCGTGCGGACGCAGGTCAACAGTTGGCGCCTCGTTTTGCTTTCAAAGCAGCGGTCAGAGAAGTTTAAAAGCGGCAAAAACTGTCGCTGCAGGTGCGTTGTGCTTGATGCCTTTCAAAAAGCCATCGAGATCGATGTAGGCTGGCTCTCCCGCACATCCAGCTGCACAGGAACTGCAAGGAGGGCAGTTTTGGAGAGCAGTCGATAGCCCCTTTCCTCCTTCGAGGCAGCGATTTAAGTGAGCAGCTGGAATCTGAGAACAGTGTGACAAGATTGTGACCGTACGTGGCACGCCAAATTCAAAAGCCCACCTTGGGCCCATGTGACCATGCAGACAACGCCAGTGTTTGCCGACAGTGTCCCAGGCTGACCATTGAAGTCTCCGTGACCTCCGAGGACTGGGCAATCGGACCTCCTGTCTTTTGTGTGGGCCACGAATAAAATTTCCAGTAGCAGCAGCCATTCTGCTATAGCCGCCGTCTTCTTTAGCCGATGAGCCCCTGCGGCCCCGTGCCGAGCTGGGGAGCTAGCAAGACTCACAAGACGATGACGCGCTTGGGTAGCACGGAACATGTGCGTCTGCGTTTCTGGCTGCCGGTCCTGCAAGGCTGGTAATAAACACTGTTGACCGGAGCTGGGCCTCTGGGTCAGAGGAGGGCTCATCGCAATCGGGGTAGTGCGAATGAAACTGGCAAATTGGGTGGGGGGGGGGGCAAGTCAAGGAGGCCAAGGGAGGACGAGGAGGGGCCGCACAGCCAAACCCCGTCAGAAAGAGAGAGAGAGAGAGCGCGCGAGCGAGCGAGCAGAGAGAAAGAGAGTAAACGGCACGCTTTATACGGTACGCTTGCTAGAGCTCCTTATACCGTGAGCACTGGCAGATCTTCCGAACAGAGGGCGCAAGAGATGGCATGAGCCATGGAGGGCGCCGGACGCAGTTAAGCGATATTTCAGAGAATTCGCTTAGCCGCTCAGCCTTCCATTTCCCCCAGATAATCTTTCAGTCGCTTGTACCGGAGGATGGAAAGGAAACCACGGCTGCAAAGTGGAAGTCCGACTGGTCGCACCTGCCTCCCGCTTACAGTGCACTTGCAGCGTTGCCTGGCATTCGGAACATCCCGCCTTCGGGATCGTGTTTGCCTCTGAGGTTGGATGTCTTTAGCCATCGCAGATCTGCAAAGCAGGTGCCTGAACATGTTCTGTCGAAGACCCTGCTCTGCCCCTTCTACTTCCCAACCTAGCACTTGCGACGATTCTATGCAGACGTCTGGGTCACAAGATGGGCTCCAGACTCTATCAGCGTTGTACGTTTCCAGCGCCAGGAACTTTCAGACGAGATTGTCCTGCTGGAGGGCCTTACGCCTGTGGTCGCGGCCGCAGAAGTTGGCATGCCTGCGCATGGTCAGAGATGGAGACATTGGTTGCGTTGAGGCGTTTCTATCGGCTCGGTTTGAGATCAGTGATGCCTGCCCAATTCCTAGGCGTCAGGTTGAAGACAAGAGGTGAAAGGCTGGCACGTTGAATATAGTGTCACGGCAGGCAACCCATGCTTACCATCGACGGCACGCAGCGACCTCAGCCGCGCTAGTGCCACACTGGTGTCCTTGGTGACAGAAGTGAGAGTCGAGGCCCTAATGCAAGCCCTGCTGCCAACGAAGACTTTCCTGACATATTTGAAAAGATCCGTGGGCTGCTCAGAAGTTGAGTGTTTTCAAAAAGGTATCCCTGGGAAGTGCATCTTGTTGTGAAGCACTTGTCTGCCAGAGAGTTCAGCTCTTCAGTCCACAAGGACCCGGCTGCGCAGTGTACTGGAGCGAGTCTGTGAAGTTGGAGTGGGATGTGCAGTTCTCAGACTCCCTGAACACGATGAAAAAAAACGAGCTGATTTCTGCTGTAACTTCGGATGCACCCCTCCTGCGCTTCCAGGTGCCGACAGAGAATCAGGACTTGGTTCAACACGGCCTGCAGTGCCTGCAGCGTGCAGAGACGCAAGTTTGAGTTGGCAGGACACAGATGTCGAGGTGGTTTTGGTGGGTTACGAGCTGGATATCTCCAAGCACAGGGCTTGAGTGCACAGTCTGCCGAGGGAGACGGTCTGCTGACTGTCATGATTCATGACTCATTGTCGAGGCTGGCGCGCAAAAAGATCGTGCCGCGTAGCAGCAGCTTTTCAACAACGCTCTGCTCATTGAAGCTCCGTGCCGGACAGCAAACCGTGGTGATGTGCATCAGCCTCAGAGATGGAAGTGGTGAGGGCTAGACACTATTTATGGTCTGTAGTTGGATTGCACTGCTTAATATGGGCGGTGGGGCGTTGCTCAGAGAGCCGCTGAGCATTGCCTATCGGGCTGCAGACGGCAGCTGACGGATTCCCGAGTCTGCGAGAGAGAGAGAGAGGGCTAGACTCGGCTTTCAGAATTTTAGCCTCTTAAGATTGTAGAGACACCAAGCGAGCAGCCTGCTCATGCACATGCACATCCTGTCAAGGTCCACCACAACTTCTGCAAGATGGGATGCTGTGCTGCCACATGCAGGTGCTGTTCATGCACTGTCTCTTGTCTGATGCTCAACCTACTGCATCCTGCGAAAATAGTTTTTGTGAATGATCCCGTGACTGCCGCCACTTCAGCCTAGCCATGCAGCACATGAAATGGCACAGCAACAATATGCCGTGCTGGCAGCTCGAGCAAGTGCTCATAACCGCTTATTCGCCAACAGGGCATCACTTGTGTCTTGTGCATGACAGTGGTTCACTACTCAGTACGGTACGTGCTTATAGGTCCGGTGCCTTCTACATAGAGCCACTACCCGGCAAACTGCCAGCCTCTCTGCCTTCAGCCATGAAGAGCAACAAGAGGCCAAAGTTGTGAATATTGACAATATTGACTAGCTGGGTGGACCTTCTCAGAATCGGCGGCATTTGTTGTCTTGTCAAGCCTGTCAAGGCATGTCCCCAAGGAGGTCGATGCGGCTCGGCTGAGTATGTGACTGTAAGAAATCTTGGCCGCCTTCCGTGCACCACGAGACATCCTTGCTCCAAGGCCAAGACCCTTATGAACAGAGCCTTGGCGCCGATTTGGGACCCAAAAAGGCTTCCGGTGTGTCTGAAAGCAACGAGGAAAGCTCCAGCAGCACTTGGAGGAGATGAATGTCCCGGGTGAGGAGGAGAAGATTGGCAGCTTGCCTTCAGCACCTGCCACGCGTCACCTGAAAAAGATTTGCCTGTGCTCACGCGTGCTCTGAGGTGACTTCGAGTCCATTGAGACCTTGCTCGGCAATCAGATGGAAGAGGTTTACATGCAGTAGCTTGGCTGCGGAAGGTAGACTCAGCCTTTCGGTGGAAGTCATCGCGTCTCTAAGGCTGCAGCTTCATTACTCCACTGCGATTCGGCTGCTCGCGCATCGGGACAGCATGGCCCGCCGGTATCAGGAGGACGGCTTAGAGGCTTAGAGTAAGCGGGTGCAACAGTACATGTCTTGCCATGCAACATGTCGCAGGAGATTGAGCGCCTGCGATCGCAGCTGGACTCTTTGAAGTCCGCAAATGCCAAAGAAAAAGAAGCAAAGCAGATGAAGATATTGGTCTCGCAGGTCAGGCTGTACAAGGAGACGGGTCGTATAGGGCAAGTCAGCAGCTCAAGTTCAAGCTTTGCCTGCTCCGCGCTGCAGGACAAGTACCTCGAACGTGCGGCACTCGGGGGTGAATGAGGCGAGGATGTCAGAAAAATACTGGTTCCTTGCAGAGTACTGTTTGCCGGCCTGAGGCGATAAGACGGCAAGGGCGATTGAGGTGGAGAACTACGAGTTGCGGGAGCAGTTGGCAGCTCTCCAGACTGTAGGAGTATCCTACGCGATTTCGCAGGCAGCTTTGCTAAATGATGCCCTAAGGCCTCAGACGTACGGCTTAGGCAGTCGCCCGCCCTCATGGAATGTTTGCTTGTAGACCGCAGCACCGTAGCGGGAGGCTGACACGGCGATGGTCCTGCGACCGAGCAGTCCACACAGTCCGAACAAGCCTGAGCTGGCCCCCTATGCTGCCTATGCGGCTCCGACGCATGTATGCCTTCTATGCGAAGTCTCCCGGTCTCCTGTAACCGGCATGGCCTATTATTCTGCCAGCCTGTGAAGAGGGTTTGGGATTGGCAAGGCAACTCCGGCATCTGGAATCGGAGACCCGTTGGAGAGGTGGGGCATAGGGAATGGCCGTTCTTTCACGACTCCTCCCCTGCAGATTTGCTATGTTCATCGATGTTTAGATGGCACGTGGAAGGTTGGAGAAGGCTCAGATGAGATTGGACACCTGGGCATCGCAGAATCGTCAGAACTTCAAGCGGAACCTGACAGGTCGCATGGCAGCAGGGCTTCCATCGTCATGCAGTGGGAATGCGGCACAATGAAATTTAGCCGTACCCAGCATCCATTCGTCTGGATGAAGTGCAGTCAGCCATCCATACCGTCTATACATGCATAGAGTTTGGAAGGCTCGGGTGTGCATGCATCATTGTCAAATCACTACGTCGGTTCTTCTGGATGGATATTTGCTCAAGAGCAAGCTTTGCCGACAATGCACACAAGGTCCCCTGCTCACGTGCTCCTGGTACTCCTGTCGTGTCCAGTCGTCTTTGTCAGAGAGCGGTCTCCTCGACGAGACCACGGGACCACTCGCGAGGAAGATCACGAGCTCTGGTCCCTCTTCTTTTACGACCTGTCGGCACAGTAACGCAACCAACTCAAGACGAAGGCGGTAAGGGGTCTGGCCGCGCGGCTCAGGGTGCACTTCCCTGATCGGATCATCTCCCTCAAGCAAGGAGAATGGAAGGCGCAGGGCATCGGGCTGGCTTGGAAAGGTCCAAGATGCCCAGGCATGTGCGGATGATGCGCCCCTGCGGCGCCGGACTCGCCTTCCAAGTCCTCCGAGAACAGTGATGACGAGGCCCATGGTTCGGGGATCCGGTATCGGGCGCAGAGCATGCTAGGTCACCAGCCTTGGACCGAGCGCTCGAAATCGAAAGGCAACGAGTCGTCTCCCTGTCAGTGTGCTGCAGGCAAAGAAAGCACGCCTGACAGTGTCAGAGCCAAACTAGCAAGATTATTGTCTTGTCCCACCCAGCCCATCCTTGCTTGCCGGTCTCTCGTGGAGTTTACTGTGCGTTGGGATGGTGCCTTTTCTCGGTGCTAGGGGCAGCAGCGCTTGAAGTGCAAAAGGTCGCGGGTCGTCTCCCTGTCAGTGTGCTGATAGACAATGAATGTCTGTATGCCCCTTCAGAGCCCGCATGTCTGACTGCAGCCTTCTTGGCTTGCACTATCATTTTTGTGCAAGGCAGTCGAAATACATCCTTTTCCATTTTCCCTCGCAGGGCTTGCGAGCTGAAAAAAGGCATTGACGTCCTGTATACTGCCGCTAACATCCCTACCATGCCCTTCTGAGGCCTCGTCAACGTCCAGGATCTACCAACCATGGAGCTGCCTGGGGCAATAACCACACGAGGCCTGGATGGGTGTAGATGGGCATGGAGCAGATTGGACCTTCGATCAATGGAGAAGAGAAGGGCACCCCAGCTCCCTCAAAACTTTCCCCTTAAGAACTCTCCCAGGTGCCTATGGTCCGGCTCCTCCAGAGATGCCGGAGATGGAAGACGAGAAGCCCGAAGAAGAGCAGCAGCTCCTCGGACTAAACCCATAACACCCTGAGCCCTAGGCCCTAAGCCCGAAGACATAAGATGAGCCGACGCAGCCCCCAAGCCTTCCTCAGTCTTTTGCCGAGGGCGGAGGAAGAAGAACCCGCGGAAACTGCCTACTACATCCGGGCATCCAAGAATAGAAGCTCGGCCATGGAACTACAGTAACTACAGCTGTCTTGGGGAAGTCTGGCATGTGTCTCCCAGGAGTTCAAGAAGAGGAGACTGGACTTGGCTACGTTATGCAAAGGCTCCGTCAGTACATGCAGGCCTTCTTCTTCCAAGGGTGACTTGGCTGTTCGAGATTGGCCTGATCGGCCGCAGTGACGGCGGAGTCGTGCAAGTATTCAGAGCTTGACCTGAAGTGCCACATCCAAGGGAAAAGGATATGCAGGACACGTACTACAGTACTGGTCTTTGTCAATACATCGCACGCAGCCAGACCTTTGAGAGCGCCACAATGGCTGTCATTGCCGTTTCTCGGTCGCCACGATAGCTTGGGTAATGTTCGTCGCGCATGACCCAAGGCTTTGAGACCCAGTGCAGACTTGTCACCAGCGCTAGGAAGTATCAAGACTAAGGCGAATTCTGTCTGGTTAGGCGTGGACGCGACCTACAATGACCAGCTTCTCTTGATTAACTCCGAGTCCATCTTCATCGTCATGGAAAACATCTTTTGTACCTACTTCTTCCTCGAGGCGTTTTGAGGTAGGATGCCCTGTGCTCCCGATGCCTTGCGGTCCTGCCAGATCGTCATCCGCTTCGGTGCCTTCCGGAGGAAATGCAACGTCTTCAGAGATTACTGGTTTTCAGGCTGCACAGGTGAGGGGGGTCCTTTGTGCCAGCAGCTGTTGTTGAGCTCCAGCCAAGGTTTGTTTTTGACCTGGCATTGGTGATGGCAATGATTCTCGATACCTGGGTACTGCTTGCCATCATGGCTGCTTCGGTGCCTTGCTTAACACTGGTGGTGCTCGACTCCTGTCGTAGATGCAACATGCAGCTGGACCCTGATGCCAATTCGTTGGGTATAAAGTATCAGTGCCACGGTGCCTTTCTTCCACTCGCAATATTTGGTTCTGTTTACTTGCACATGTTTCCATCGTGTCATGGGCATCGAGCTCCCCTCTTGAAGTCTTGGCGCCGCATGCAACTGGTTGCTGTGCTGGTCGTCGAGTCGGATCTGCACAGCACAACCACTCCTATAGCTGCAGCAATTGGGCTCCGCGAGTTTGTGCGAGACTGCTCGTGCGTTGTACTGCGCTGTAAGCAGAAGCCGAGGATACTGATGTTTCGGTTGTCAACTCCTCGTCTCTTCGGCTTCTGCGGATCATCCGCATCAGCCGGCTTGCGCGAGTTGCACGGATATTGCGGTCCGTGCCGGAGATGATGAAGCTAAGCTGAGAAGCTTTCAGGATACGTATTTGCATCAATACTCCGCCCCCCAAAACTACATTAACGACATGTTTTCGGATTCTGTCGCGCTGCTATTCCCGGAGAGGGCCCTTGAAGTGCTCTGCAGTAGTTTTTGGGGGTGGGCGCTGCAGGATTTCTCTGGGGAAGGGCACTTTGCGGGATGCTCTGGATGAGGGCGCTCTCGGGATACTCGAGGAAATGGCAGCCCAGCCGGACTTTCTGCGAAATTCTATTCTCCAGGGACTCCAGGGATAATTGACTGGATTCTCTGCAGAATTTCTCGGGTGGTCATGGATACTTGGCGGGGAGTGGACACTCCAGGAATCTCGGCTCGGGGCTAGGACAAGAGGGCCCAAACTGTTCCCCAATGTAGGAGGTCTGGCTGGCTGGGGCGAATTTTTTCTAATGATCTCTAACGGTTTCTAATGGTTTCTAGTGATTTC